CGCCCGCCCCCTGTCCTCCAAGAACATGCGCGCAGGAGATTTCCACTGGACGGGAAATACCTCCACGTCGTCGGCGTCGAAGACGGTGCGCCAAACGAGTGACGCACACCCTCTGGCTTTTCGCCACACGCCCTCGCCCTCCCGCTCGGCCGGCCAGCACAACGCGGAGCACCAGTGCGTCTTCAGGACGAACAGCGTCTCGTTGGTGGACTTGATACGGACGAGCCCGCCTGGCGGCAGGAACCCAGTCACCCAGCAGTCGTTCGCCTTCTCCCACAGGTCGCCCTCGTGAAGCACGCGCAGGAACTGCAACTCCGCGCATAAATTCTGTTCGCTCGCAGGAAGGAATGCTTTGAACTTGCTCTCGTCCCTGATTTTGTCCGTCTGCTCCAGGAGGGCGTTCCGCGCCTGGGCACGGGCCTTCGCCTGAGGTTTTGCCCCAACTGGCACCGGGCGGCTTGTCGCCTGAGCATCCTGGAACAATGCCTTCATCTCCGCGTCGTCCTTCAGGTTCACCTTCGCGAAGGCCTCCACCTCCGCGCGCTCGAATTCCCCGATGACGTCGTTCCTGACCAGGGTGTCCCACTGCGCCATGCTCGACACCGTCTGCGGGGGACACGAGTACTTGTCATGTGTGACACCAGCGTGCCCCTGGACGCCGTTGGAACGCACGCGAAGGGAAAGTCATCGGGGGGCCATCTGCAGGGCAACGGCGGCCAGAGCCACGACGACGTCGCACATGGGGAAAGTGCATCGACGCGGAGGGAGGCGGGGGACACGCCCGGCACGGAAGCGGACGAAGGGGAGGCCGAGAAGGGGCGAACAGGAGCCCAAGGCACGCTCCCTTTGACCCTCTCTTGCCTTGTTGCTGGTCGTGAGGGTTTCTTGGTCGCGCAGCACCTTGTTGGCTTTCTCGCACGCGCGAGTCTGGCACCAGCCGGTGAAAGTGGACTTCAACAGCTCCTCCAACGCTCTTGGCAGAGCACCGAACTGGCTTTTCGCCGCAAGTCCAATGCACCACAGGTAAAAGGGCTGGTGGAACCGACAGCGGGCCACAGCTAAAACGACCTTGGGGTACTCCTTGTGCTCCTGGGCCACCGACGACGACGACGACGACGTCGAAGACGACGACGACGACGAAGACGAAGACGAAGACGACGACGAAGACGACGACGACGACTACGGCCACGAACGCAACCACGACGACGACGACGAGGACGAAGGCGACACCGAAGACGACGACGACCAGGACGAAGACGATGACGACGAAGACGACGAAGACGACGACGACGACGACGAGGAGGACGACGACGACAACGAATACGAGCGAAGGCGGCGAGAAGCCTGCAGGCGGGGCTCAGCGAAAGGAGGGCCCAAAGCTCAAAGGTTGAACCTTTGCACATGCATCTTGGAACACAGGCGTCGAAGTTCGAAATTCGAAACTCTGCCTTGGACCATCGATCTTCGACGTGGAACTGCCGACGTGCATTTTGGAGCCCCCACCCCCCACCCAGGAGGAGGGGCGAGGGGGGGGGGAGGACTCATGGAGGGAGGGGAGGGATGGAAAAGGCGGCGACGGGGGGGGGAGACAGGAGGGAGAAGGGAGTGACAGAGGAGAGATGGAGGGAGGAGGGAGGGCGTCCTGCGCTGCCCACCAGGCGCGCACGTCCTTTTGAAATTCTGCCATGCACGAATCGAACTCGTCCTGCTCCGTCGACAGCAGACCCGCCAGTTTTCCAGGGTAGTAGAAAGAACGCATTGCCAGGGACCCTGCCCGCAGGGCGACAATCTTTTCCACGAGGATCCCGAGTCTGTGAGCTAGTGCGTCCTGGTGCTTCAAGGCCCCCTCCGCTGGCTTCGCGCCGTGGTGCATGGCAGCGGTCATGTTGACGATGAAGCCGCAACGCTTGAGGCCCGCGGAGTTGTCCATGCACTTGAGTGTCTTCTTCAAGAAGTCTAACCACTCCTGGCGGGCCCACCCCAGACACACTTTCAGAGTGCCCTCGGTGCTGGTAAAGTCTTTCGTCAGTTTTCCGAAGGCGATATGCTGAGCCTCAGCGGCATGGAGGACCAGCCGCAAACCGGCGACGACGTCGTCGTCGCACAGGAGACGGGTAGCAGTGACCACGGTGTTCTGCGTCTTCGCCTTCAGATGCTCCAACTTGTCCTTCGCGGACTTCGCAGCCTCAGCCTTTGATTTGGGTGCTGGCTTAACGCCGTCGCCGACGTTGAGGAGGCGCGTGCTGGCGAACAGGTCCTCCGAAGCGACGATCCACCCCTTGTGCATGCAGAGAGACGCCATGGTCAGAGAGCGGCTCGCCAGCTTCTTCGACCACTCAAACCCAGCATCACAGAAGGACATCCACTTGGACGGCGCCACCTTGGCCCCCATGATGTCACATTCACGAGGCAGGCCACGCAACCATTCCTTCCTCGCTGCCGCCTGGTCTGGCTGGTCGCCGTCGTCCTCAAGGTCTGCCTTCCGCCGCGGCCAGAACCGGAGAGCCAGCTGCGAGTCTGCGCTCAGGGCCGCCCCCACGCGCCCTGCCTCCGCGCACAACTGGTGGAAGAACGCGTGGCCCTGCCACGGGCCGCACCCGATGTTGAAGACCAGAGTGCCTGCCTGGGCGACAGGGGCCAGGCCGCTCAGGCTTATCGCCATCGACAGGTCGTTGTGCCAGCGGTGGAACTCGTCCGCGAGGCGAACGCCCGTGCAGGCGAGGCCTTGGGGCTGTGGGGCGAATATGAATTAGGCACCGGTGATCTGGACTTGCTCCTGGTCAGAACATATCGCCAGCGACGGGATCTGCAGGTCGTCCGGCAGGGGTGCGGCCAGCGGTCCTGGGAGTGCCTGCCCTGTCCGCGCTGCCGTCAGCAGGCCCAGCTTCTCGAGGGCGGGCAGATTCTGAAACTGCTCCAGGCCAATGTCTGCGTGCATCTCGATGAACCTGTCCACGCGGAGGACGAACTTCTTGGACGCCACGCGCGGCTGCTTTCGCAGCAGCTTCGCGTTCTGCTTCCTCTTCTCTGCCAGGAGGCCCTCTTGGGGAGGGGGCGGAGCGGGCGCGCCCAAGCGCTCGCCGTCGCCGCCGCCGCCGCCGACGACGCCGTCGCCGCTGCCGTCGCCGCCGTCGTCGCCGTCGCCGTCGCCGCGGCCGCCCCCGCCGTCGTCGGCGTCCTCGTCGTCGTCGTCGTCGCCGGCGTCGGCGTCCTCGTCGTAGTCGTCGGTATCGGTATCGTCGGGGTCGTCGTCGTCGTCGGCGCCGTCATCGTCGTCGTCTCTGTGGTCGCCATCGTTCAGGGCCTCGGGCTCGGCGAAGAAGGCATCCGACATCTGACTCATGCGCCTGCCAGCCTTCTCGGCGGCCTCGTCCGTGAGCACGCGCTCCACGCCAGTTTCGTCGAGTACCTGGGGTCTCCAAGACGACTCAGGGGCAGACATGGCTTTTGGCGCCCACGACGCGGTCGCGGGCCGCACCTCGTCCTGGACACGCCAGACACAAGCAATGCCATCGGGTCTTCGGCCGACCTGGTGGGTCTGTGGTGTCCGACGACTCGTTCGGGGGATTCATGAATGCCCTCTCCCGCCTCCCACGGGTTCGCCCCCTGGGGCCCCAGGGCCGCTGCCCTTGGAAACAGAACCACGCGGGGCTTCAGGCGAGGGCGTGCTCCCCTGGGGCCGCGCCCCAGAGCCCCTCCCGCGCCGCGGAACCTGTTCCGCGATTCCCGGAACAGTGTTCCGTGACTCGCGGATCGCTGTCCCGAAACCTGGTTTTCTGGGTACGTTTTCCTGGCCTGTTGGCCGCCCAGACACGGTGGGTGTGTTTTACTGGCCTCTTCGCCGCCCACGCCAGGGTGGGTATGTTTTACTGGCCTGTTGGCCGCCCACGCCGGGGACGACCCCTGTGACTGTCTGATCGGCCGGCGGGGGCCAAGGTGGGGACGTTTTACTGGCTTGTTCGCCGCCCAGCGGAACAATGCCCCATGGGAACGTTTTGCTGGCCTGTTGGCCGCCCAGAAACCTGGGTACGTTTTACTGGCCCGTTCCTGCTCGCAGACACGCGCCCCGGAACAGTGTTCCGTCGAGCGCGGAGCGCTGTTCCGCGGGCAAGGGGAAGCGTGGCCCCCGTCCACAGGGGGCCTGGTCCCAGGTCACACGGGCCCCTCGGGGCACCCCGAGCCCCCTGAGCACTCCAGGGCGTCGGCCCCCCTGGCGCCGCCCCGCCAACCAGTTCTTGAGACCCAGGGACCAAGGGCAGGGGGGGGAAGAGGGGCGGTGGCGTCCTTTCCAGAAGGCGCCGTCGGAAGCTTTTGGGCCAGGTCTCCCCGAAGGCATCGGCGGGGAAGCATGGTGGCCGAGGACTACGTCTCCCCCCTGATCCCGCGACCCGCGGGGGAGTCATAGGCCCAGACTGATGGGGGGCTGAGGAGGAGGCAAGGGGGTAAGGGGGACGACGACGGGGAGGGGGAGGAGGAGGAGGAGGAGGACAACACCGAGAGGGCGCCATCGGCGGCGCCCAGAAGTGCACGTCGCGCTCAGGGAGGCAGAAGGTGGCCACCATGACCTTCTCGCCGCTGACTTGCGTCCCATCGAGCGCCACGCTCCAGTGCACTGCGCCCTCTGCTGCGATCCTGCGGTCGTCGTCGTCGTCGTGGTCGTCGTCGTCGTGGACGTCGTCGTCGTCGTCGTCGTTGTCGTCGTCGTGGTCGTCGTCGTCGTCGCGGTCGTCGTCGTCATGGGCGCCGTCGACGTCGTCGTCGTGGTCGTCGTTGTCGTCGTCTTCGTCGTCGCCGTCGTGGTCGTCGTCGTCGTGGTCGTCGTCGTCGCCGTCGTCGTCGTCGTCGTCGCCGTGGTCGTCGTCGTCGCCGTCGTCGTCGTTCTCGTCGTCGGCTCCGTCGTCGTCGCCTCGTCGTGGGCCCCGTGGAGAGCTCCTGCTGGAGAAGTAGTAGTTCGAGCCATCGAACATTCGCACAAGTCTGTCTGCTGTTCTCGCAGACACTTGCAGGCTGCTCAGGCTGATCGCCGCCCTCTCCTCCTTGTCCATCTTGGACCTCTTCTGCTTGCGCTCACGGGCGGACTGCACAGGCGCCGCTGGCCCCAGCGCGGCGCCCATGCCAACCACGAGTTGGCTCGCTGACCGAACGCCCGAGCCGACGGCGTTCCGCTTGGCCACGCTCAACGCACCTAGGTACGATGCCAGAACTTCCCGCGATCGCCCTGCAGCTCCTTTGCGCACGCCGAGACCGAGGAGGTTCAGGTCGCGCCAGCGCTGGTCCGTCCCTGAGACCTCCCACAGAAGCACCACGTGGTCTAACAGGGCGTCCCTCCACGCATCGACCACCTCCAGCATCGTTGTCCCGCGGAGTCTGCTACGTCCTCCTCGGGCTGTCACGCGCTCCCCCAAGTGGGCCACCAAGTCCACGAGCCGCGTGTCGCCGTCCACCATGTGGTCGCTGATCCTCGCTGGGGCTCTCCAGCCAAACTCCGCATCACATCTCATCCCTCCTCTCTCTGTCTGGCCTCCCCGCCCTTCCCTTCCCTCCCCCCGTCCGACCCAGCTCTTCTCTGAAGCCTCTCCAGGGTAGTCAGGAGGCACGCCCGCCCGATGTCCTCATCACGCAGGCACGACTCCCCTGGCGCGACTCGGCCTCGGAAGACGTCATCTCGCCCTTGTCCACGACACCTTCGTGCAAGACCGTCACGCAGCCAGCCGTCCTGGAGTGCACGGCGATCGACTCAGGCTGGTCGCCGTGATATAGTGGCCACCCGAGAATCCTGTGAAGCAAGGTCTTCGCCCGCTCAACCTGCGCACCTTGGAGCTTCTTGTCGGGGACCTTGGTCACGTACCCCCTGGAAATGGAGTTCCACAGCCAGAACATCACGCCCCTCACGCTCACCTGCCAATCGTGATCTCCAGAGAGGGCCTCGGCGGCGAGTTCCGCGGGGACCGCCTTTGGGCCATCGTCCTCCTCGGTCTCGGGGGCCTCTCGCTTGCGCGAGGCGCGGGCTGAGTCTCGGAAGTGGTCTTCGTGGAGCCCAGCTTTGGTACAGCATGAGCGCGCATTCCCGAAGTGCTCGAAGTCTTTGCGAGCGCGGCCCGCCGCAGACGGAAAAGGGCGGAGGACATAGTCGGCCAATCTCCCGAAATCCACCCAGAGGCTCACTGGCTCGTCGCCGACGCGCGCTGGCGCTTCGTACTTCGTGAACAGCAGCCGCACGGGCTTGGGGCCAGGGAGCTCGAGCGCCACCGTCTCGCAATTGGACTGCAACTCTGAGACCCACGCGGTTCCCTCCTCCCCAGCCGACGTATCAAGTCGAGCTGTTTTCCAGTCTGGGAAACCTCCTCGTTGTTGCGGCGTGGGCGTGTGCGCGCCACACTCGTCCAAAGTGTGCAAGGGGCGCGTCTCGTCGTCACCAGGCCCCAGGAGCAGGGCCACGTCCTGGTCGTCGGGGTGCGGAATCAACTCCGTGAAGGGCCCGTCCGCGAAGACGGCTCCGTTGCCGTAGACGACCTTGTGCTCTCCCGTGATAGAGTTGTGGCAGATCTGCTTCGTGCCGAAATCCCACAAAGTCCACTGCGCCCAAGCCATCAGGATGACCAGGCTTGTCGCCGACATCTGCCCCGGATTGCTCGCTCGAGCCGAAGTGGCTGGCCGCGTGGAGAAGGAATTGCGCATTTGTCGTTGGGGGGCGGGAGAGGAAGGAGAGCGGACGCCCCGTCCAACTGCTTCCATGCATGGACGACGACGACGACGACCACGACGAGGACGACAACGAAGACGACGACGGACGACGACGACGACGACGGAAGACGACGACCACGACCGCGAGCACGACGACGGCGACGCCGACGGGAGAAGACCACTCCGACGACGAGCACGACGACGAACAGGAGGAGGAGGAGGAGGAGGAGGAGGAGGAGGAGGAGGAGGGGGGAATTTCCGCAGTCTCCGCGGGCTGAGCCTTGTCCCAGGCAAAACTTGCTTCGAAGCCGAGAACCACTTTTTTTTTCCATTCGAACCCACTTTTCGGGCCCAGGCGAAGGGCGAGAAGCCAGCAAGGGCGGAGGCCCCTCGACGCCCCTCGCCGCCCCCGCCTCCTGACGCGGGCTCGATTCTCCTTGCGGCGAGAAGCCAGCAGGCCGGGGAAGAGCAGAGGGGGCCTCCAAAGTTGGAAATTGGAAACCCGCACTCCCCAGGACGGCCTCGAACCGAAGAATTTCCAAGTTCGAACTTCGCAGTTCGAACTTGCAAGTTCGGAGTTCGAAGTTCGAACTTCGAACTTCGAGCTTTCAACTCTGAACGTCGTTTTTTGGAGGCCCCCCGCCAACAGACGCGGGATGGAGGATGACAGAGGGGCGGAACCAGGGGGGGGGAGGTGGACAGGACGGAGGGGGGGAGGGGGGAGCTGGCCTGGCTTGTCGCCGTCGGGGGGAGGAAGGGAGGAAGCAGGAAGGGGGAGAGAGGAAGGGCATGGGACTCCCGTGGGCCACTCTCTTGGCCAAATTTCATGGTGGGTTGCTCTTGCTCCTGCTCCTCCTGTTTGTCTGCATGCATGTCCTCCTCTTTGTTTGCATTGCATTGCATTGCAGACGCATAGCGTTGCAATCGCACTCTTCCCTCCCATCCTCGCAACAGGACCCCTTTGGAAAACATTCCAAAGGGATTCCAGTGGAACGCCTCACAGCAGGAATCCTTTGGAAACCGCAACAAAGGGATTCGATTGGAAAGCGCCACACAGGGATGTGGGAAGCGAAAAACCAAAAAAAACACAAGGAAAAACCAAAAAAACAAAGAAACCAAACACCAACAGCCGAAAAACCAAAAAAACACAAGGAAAAACCAAAAAAAACAAAAAAACCAAAGTTTACAACACTTTCGCTGTCAGGGCGGTGGGGGTGGACGAAGTATCGAAATCTTTGGTTTTTTTTGTTTTTTTTGGTTTTTCCTTGTGTTTTTTTGGTTTTTCGGCTGTTGGTGTTTGGTTTCTTTGTTTTTTTTGGTTTTTCCTTGTGTTTTTTTTGGTTTTTCGCTTCCGCCACCCCTCCCCCTGGGGAGCGGGCGGCTCCAGGAGGCCCCAGGAGGCCCCAGAGAGGCCCCAGAGAGGCCCCAGGAGACCCCTGGAGGAGACCCAGGAGGGAACCCAGGGGCATCGCAAATTCAATGTCCCTTCGATGCCCCTCCCCTCTCCTCACCTCTCTCTCCCTCAACCAAGTTTTCTGGTTACCCTCTCTTTCGTGCCCGCCATCCCCTTCCCGCGACGGCAGCAGACTCAAGGCCCAGCTGGTTGCTGAGGATGGGTGCCTTTCGGGTGCCTTGCGGGTGCCTTGCGGGTGCCTTAGCAATTAGCGGAGTGCATTGCGAGTATACACGTGCCGCGCAACTCCCCAAATATACCATTCAGAAGGGGGAAACGCTCGAGAATTTTTTTTTTTGGGTTTTTTTTGTTGTTGCCGTTGCATATGAACGGAAAGCGAAGCATTTCTCGTTAAGTGCAAAAATCAGATTTGAAGAAGTATCATAATCATTATGACGTTGTGCATTTTTACTATCGGCGTCGACCCCCGAATTCTGAGGATGGGTGCCTTTCGGGTGCCTTGCGGGTGCCCTTCGGGTGCCTTTCGGGTGCCTTGCGGGTGCCCTCCGGGTGTTTTTCGGGAGCCGTGCGGGAGCACTTCGGGTGCTCTTCGGCCGTCTTCGGGTACCTTTCGGTAGCCAGCAAGGGGCTTGGGAGGAGGCGGAAGAGAAACCCAGGATCCCAAGAGGAACCTAGGAACCCAGGAGGAACCGAGGAACCCAGGAACCCAGGAGGAACCCAGGAACCCAGGAGAAATCCAGGAACACAGGAGGAACCCAGGAACCCAGGAACCTTGGAGGAACCCAGGAAACCAAAAGAAACCCAGGAGGAACCCAGGAACCCAGGAGGAACCCAGGAACCCAGGAGGAACCCAGGAACCCAGGAGGAACCAAGGAACCCAGGAACCCAGGAGGAACCCAGGAACCCAGGAGAAATCCAGGAACACAGGAGGAACCCAGGAATCCAGGAACCTTGGAGGAACCCAAGAAACCAAGAGAAACGCAGGAGGAACCCAGGAACCCAGGAGGAACCCAGGAACCCAGGAGGAATCCAGGAACCCAGGAGGAACCGAGGAACCCAGGAACCTAGGAACCCAGGAGGAACCCAGGAACCCAGGAACCCAGGAACCCAGGAGAAACCCAGGAACACAGGAGGAATCCAGGAATCCAGGAATCTTGGAGGAACCCAGCGTTTCCTGACCCCCCTCGCTGCTCGTAGCTGTTTGGGCCCAATCGCAACGCCGAGCGTGCGCCTTCTGGCAAACCCTCAGCGTCATTCAAGACCGCGGCATGGCCGCTTACGAGGACCTGAAATCGGCGACCGAGGGCTGGTATTGCCGCCCTCTTCCTGCACCAATGGTAACGGGCGTGCTGCCCCGTGGAGAAATCGAGCCTTTTCTCGAACTCACGGACGACATCGGGGCCAACGAGAACCCACTGGTGCACTACATTGATTTCATCACGGGGCATAGAGACCCAGTCCCCCCCGAGCTCGACGAGCAATACAAGGCGGCCTGGAAGGACGACAGCTACCACAATCTGCCGCCACCGTTCGGGTTCAAGACGGCGCCGCAACACCACGTGACGCTGCAGATTTGTATCCTTGACGCCCCCGACGGCACGAAGACCATAATCAAACACTGCGTCATCCCCAACAAGGCGAAGACGGCCGTCTTCGCCAGCAGCGTCAAGAAGCTCTGCTTCCAGCATCCCAAGGTGCACGATTGGGGAAACAAAAGGGTGGCGAGGGCGCGGCGCCCTCGCCATTTTGAAGCTCTGGGCCAGCGTTCGGAGGCAAACAGCATGGGGGAAACAAAAGGGTGGCGAGGGCGCGGCGCCCTCGCCATTTTGTTTTTTCGATCGCGCCGCCAGGTGGGGGTCAAGGTCTGGCAATACGCCTTCGAGCGGTTCGGAGGCAAACAGTGTCGGGCTTTCTTCTTATCGCCAGACGTCAAGACGGCCACCAAGGTGAACGAGTTCTACGAGCTCTCGGACGAGGATATAAACGCTGGCTTCGAATACATCCTGAAGAACGCGCCTCGCTCCACGGCCGAGCTCAAGCAGCTGGTATGGCAGACGAAGGCGCTACGCAAAGGCGCCCCCCTCTACGGCTGGCCCGTCCCCCTGGTGGCGAAGGCGTTGAGCGGGCTCGCGGCGGAGGGCGCGCTTGCAAAGAAGGAGTTCGAAAACAACGTGATCCTCTGCGAGGACCACTTCAACCTTCGCGTTCTCGAAGCCATGCAGGAGCTGATCAACAGCAACGATTCGCTTGTCCTCATTGGGGAGCCCAACATCGGCAAGACGCCGCTCGGGCGCGCATTCCTGATGGCAATGTGCCGCAGGAACGCGCGGGTCCACGGATTGGACCCCGCGGGTTGTTGCATCCGCGTCACGCCTGAGATCGATTTCTTGCGAGGCGAGCCCGGCGACATTCTCATGGGGGACTTTGTGGACGATGGCTGCTTGAATCTCCTCCCGCCCAAGATGGTGAAGGCCTTGCTCGACGTCGGCCAGTACGAGAGCATGTGCTGGGCCAGGTGGGGCGCAACGAAATGGAAGAAGGGGGGGCCTCGGTGCTTGGCGGACCAGACTTACGATCCGAATGCCGAGAAGCTGGACCGCTGGCCCTCCGTGAAGTTCCAGGAATTCTTCGAGCTCGTGCGCCCTGCCTTCTCCGAGAAGGCGACCCGCGCATGCATGCTGGCTTTCTTCAAGCGTTCTGCGTTTCTGGTGAATACCCAGGAATACCTCTACTGGCGCCCAGCAGGCACTGAGGAGAAAGATGTTCCGCGCATTAACTTCAAGGGCGAGACCTTCCTGACGGCCGAGGGGAAGCGCCTGTACCTACTGCAGAAGGACGGCGACATGACCCCGCCCGCCAATATCCAGCAGCTCTTGGAGAAGGAGCGGCTCCTCGTGGACTCCGCCGTGGAGAAGAACCGCAAGAAGTCCTCAGACGCGGCCCTCGGTTCTTTGCCAGCCCCGTCGTTCGTCCAGGTTTGGGGGTTCAAAGATGCGGCCCTGCGGGGTGGGGTCCTAGGGCTGAGGGAGCACTTCAACGCGTTCTGAACGCTGAAACGCTGCCTCGGCCTTGGCGGACATCATCTTTGAGCCCCTCCCGACAGGTGAAGCGAGAGCGCGTGTCCCCTGAGCGCCTGACGTTTCGGAAGCGCCTGCTCTCGGGGATGACGCTCAATGTCGACAGCCCGTCCCCCGCCAAGCAACATGCCGCGGCGTCGTCCACTGCATCTGGGCCCGCGGCCCCGCCCCGCGACGATCTCGAGGTCCAGCTCTCGCAGATGCTGGCCGAGGAGGGGGCGCCCGCTGTGCCTGCGATGCCCTCGGCTGCGGAGGAGGACGAGGCGCACGCTTTCCTCGGTTCTCAGAGTCAGGAGTGAGCGGGCGGCCGCGAGAGCGCGGGCGGGCAGGTGCGGCGCGCGGGTTTCGCGGGCAGCGATGGCACCCTCAGCTCGGGCGCTGATGCCGCGCGCGCTGCCGAGGTGGCGCGCGCCGCTGCGCCCCAGATGAGCTGGGGGCGCGCGCCGCCAACATGTTGTGTCTTGATAGGGTTATCCACAAGTACCGCGCGTTATCATGCCATTTTCTTTTGCCGTTCTAAGAAATCCAGCCGCCCCCGCAGACGTCGTCGTCGTCGCCGCCGCCGCCGCCATCGCCGTCCATCCGGTATGGTTGCTGTCATCGCCGCAGCCGTTTCTTGGCCGAATCGGCAGCCAGAGCCGCGGGTGCCCGCGCCTCTCGCGCACTGCCTCGCCCGTGCTATCGCGCCTGGAGCCAGGGATGACCGTCCACCGTCGCCCCGCCGCCTCCGAGGCCAGGGGTCGAAGCCGCACGCGAGGGCAGCGCTTCCCCCAGAAGCGTCGCAACAAGCGGTCGGTGCAGGCCGCCTCGCGCCGCCGCGACATTTTGGCCAAGGCGCGGAAGGCGCGCAAGGCGGCCCAGGCCAAACGCAAGCGCTTGGAAGCCACGGGCGTGTTCTACACGCCCAAGCGCCAGCGGGTGTCCCGCGTGCGGCGCGGCAGGTCTTCCCTAGCCAAGATCTACACGTACGAGGACCTCAGGGCTCTGAAGACCAAGGATGCTTACGACTTGATGGTCCAGGCGGGGTACCTCGGCGACCCCTCCGAGAACGTTTGCCCCAGGTGCGGATGGCCATTGGGTTCGGTGATTCACAGGGGCGAGAAGCGGCATCCAGTCCAGAGGTGTCAGCGCAAGGCCTGCTCGTCGTCCTCGGTGCAGGTGAAGGTCACGAGCGGCACGTGGGCGGATGTGGAAGTGCCTCTCCCGAAGCTGGCGGGCGTCGCCTTCCTGTCGTGCGGCGCCCTGACGTCCCGCATGAGTACAGCCGACATGGCGCTGATTGCCAAGATGGGCCACAAGCAGTGCGAGGCGGTCAGGCAGAGTTTGCTGGAGATCGTCTCGGCTGCTTCGAGGGAAGAGCAGAAGTCGATCGTGCTGAGCGGCCAGTGCGAGACCGACGCCACGACCCTGCGGGTCGTCCAGCTCAAGAACGGGCGCAACATGCACATCCGCGTGTTCGGCATGTGCAAGCGCGGAGACCACGAACACGCCGTCGTGCACATGCTGCCGCCCTTCTATGCGGTCCGTGGCGGCCCGACGCGCCCCGAGAGCACGGATGAGACCGCGCCGCTGATCTCAGCTCACACGGGGGCCGACGTGCTGATCTGGCACACAGACGGAGCGCGGTGCTACCGCCGCCTCGAGAACCACACGAAGGTCAAGCACGCCAAGCGCATCTGGGCGACTGTCAAGACGCTGACCCTGAGCGGGGGCGACGTCCTGTGCTGCTACGGCGGGACGCAGCTCCAGGACGGGCTGTGGTCGCACGTGAAGAACGTCGTCCCAACCACGATGAACACGTACAGCAAGGAGTCGCAGGCGCAGCTCGAGAACTGGGTGCACTTCTGGGCGTGGCGCTACAGGCGCGCCAGCTGTCCAGATATGTTTCTCGAGCTCGGCTCGGCCGTCGCCATGGCCAGGTTGAAGGGCCACGTCTGGTGAGAACCTGCCTGTGCGCTAGAGGGGGCCGCATGTGTAAATAATCGCCATCGGCCGAGAGGACAGGGGGGGGGAACCTGTCTGGCGAGGACCGCGGATAAAAAATAATCGTCAGCGGCCGAGAGAGAGAGAGAGAGAGAGAGAGAGAGAGAGAGAGAGAGAGATGGATATACGGAGCACGGAATAGAAGAGAGAGAAAGATATACAGAGAGAACGAGAGAGAGAGAGAGAGAGGGAGGGGGAGAGGCGCCATGAAATTTGGCCAAGAGAGTGGCCCACGGGAGTCCCACGGCAGAGGAAGGCGGGACTGGGGGAGAGGAGGGGGGGGGGAGGGAGAGAGGAAGCAGGGGCGAGCAGAACGGGCGCGAGGAAGGCGACGTTCTCGCTCTCTCGCGCAGCCCGGCGGACAGCCAGGTCACTCCGCGGCGAGGCGACGCTGCGCGCCTGCCGAGGCGAAGGCTTGCAATGCCTTCGCCGCCTCTTAATTAACCAGGCGGAGCCCAACCTCCCCTCGGACCGTGCCAAGTCCCCCCCCACCCAAGTCCCTCCCAATTCCTCTGCCCCCCCACCGTCCCCCGCCCTCCGGCCCCCAGGCCCACCCCCCTCCACCCGTCCCGTCCGTAGGGAGGTCGGGCTCCGAGAAGCGGCGTGCCCGAGCAAGCAGGCTTCCGCCGTCGGGCTTTTCGCCGCCAGGCTTTTCGCCGTGAGCGGCGGCGCGGGGGGCTCAGCAGCCGCGCGGCCACTTCAGCGCCTGGGCCCCTTGCCGTCGCCGCCCTTGCCGCGGTCGCCCTTGCCCGCGTCCTTCCCCTTGGGGCCCGTCCAGCTGTTGTAGCGGTCCCAGCGCGCCTTCGCTGCCGCCCCCAGCGGCCTCCGGTTGTCGTCGTCGGGGCGCGACCGCAGCCTTGAGACTTCGAACTTCGAACTGCGAATTTCGAGCTTCGAACTTCGAACTTCGAAGTCCGAAGCTCGAACTTCGAACTTCGAACTTCGAAGTTCGATCCTGGGGCCCCTGGGATATCCAGGGACCCTCCCTGAGGCGGTGGCCCCCCTGTTAACTGATATAGAACCTTCCTTTGCCAGAGACGCCCTGCCCCTTCTGGCCGCCCTTCTCGCTGATGACGTCCCTGCACGCCCTGTTGGCCCAGGTGGCGTCCAGCGGCGTGGCCCCGTCCTCGCTGGCCAAGTTGACGTCCGCCCCGCACTCCAGGAGGACGCGCGCCTGGCTTGTCGCCGCGGTGCCCGCAGCCTTGAAGAGCGGGGTCGCGCCGCGCCTGCCCCTGACGTCGGGGTCAGCGCGGGCGTCCAGCAGCAGCCGCATCATCTCGCACTTGTCGTTCGCGTTGTTCTTGTTCTGGGCGAGGATGTGCAGGGGCGCCCAGCCGTAGGCATCATCCTCGTTCAGGCTTGTCGCCGTCAAGTGCGGGAGCAACTGGGAGAGCACCAGCGGCGTGCCATCCCTGAAGGCGCATTTTTTGTTGTCATGGCGTTCACAGTAACGATTTTCATGTTGAAACCTGTGTGTGGCATTTTTTGTTGCATTTTGTTTTTTTTGTTGGTTTGCGAGAACTTTGTATGTTCTACTCGCCGAGCCTGTTCTGGTTCGCTGCGTAGCAAGCCTGGAGCAGAAGTTCGGCTGGTCCTGGAGCTCCTGGCTGGTCGCCGCGGACGAACTCCGAGAAGGCGAACAGCTCCCTGCCGTACTCGCGCCGCGTCGGTTCCTCGGGCTGCGGCGCCTCCCGCGCCCCTGCGGCTGCTGGAGCCCCCTGCGGGCTGTCTTCCGCCGCTGGCGGAGCTGCTGGAGGAGCTGCTGGGGGCGAGCCGCTGGCGGAGCTGCTGGAGGAGGCACTCGCGTGCTGCTGGCGGCGCCCCTGCTGCTGGCTTGGCGCCGCGCCCTCAGCAGCTACGTCGACCCCGTGCAGGTCGGGGCGGGCGGCGGCAGCCAAGGCGGTTTGGCGGCCGGACGCCTTCCAATCGGATTCCCCTCACGCTCCTTCCCCCCCATCCCTCCTTCTTCTCCTTCATCCCCCGCCCTCCTCCTGATGATCCGCCTGGGCCTCCTGGGCAGGCTCGGCCGCCGCTTCCTCGGTCAGCTCCTCCGCGCCCGCGCTGGGCAGCACAGCTTCGGCAGCCTGCTGCAGCAGCCTCTGCGCGCGCTCCATGAGCCCCGCTGCCTCCTCGACCTCGCGGCGCTTCGCCTCCGACGTGTCCTTGTCGGCGCCGAGGGCCTCCGCGGCGCGGCGCTTCAGAGCTCGCACGAGCGCCTCCTGCGCGGCGAACACCTCGTCGAAGGAGGCGTCGGCCAGGGCGTCGTCGTGCCCGCGTCCCTGGTCGCCCAGCCCCTGCTGCTCCTGGGGCTGCTGGCTTGTCGCCGCCGCTGGCAGCGCCTTGGGGGGGGGGCAGGCTTTTCGGCCTGGCCCCCGCCGGCGGGTGCTTCGCGCTCAGGTGGAGGAAAGGCGCGCGCCCCGCGCTCGGGCTCTCGGGGCCAGCGGCGCGCTCTCGGGAGTGCCTGCGGGCCCGCGCCTGCGGCGGAGGCGGTCCCTGAAGCGGAGGCGGCGCCACCGAGGGCGGGCGCTGCTGGCCGGCCTTGGCGGGCGGCGGCGTGGGCTGTCGCGCCGCTGCGGCTGGAGCGCCTTTGGCCTGGCTGGGGCCCCCTTGAAAACTTTGGAGTGCATCCAGGCTTTTCGCCGCCCCCCCTCCAGGCTTCTCGCCGCCCCCCCTCTCGCGCTCTGGGCCCAGGGGTCCACGGGGATTCGCTCCGCCAGTGAACTCCAAAAAATCTCCCGTCCCCCACCCGACCTTCCCAAAAATTGCCCAACGACCATCGTGCCTGCGCCTCTGCCTCGGGCGAGCCTGGCGGGGGCCTGCTCGGCATGGCGGAGACGACCTCCACCCCGCGCGCCTTCACGCGGCGACTCCCCGAGCGCTCGCGGTCCGCTGTCGAGACCGCTCGCGGTCCAGGTGGCGGCGCCTTCGTGGTCGTCGTGGTCGTGGTCGTCGTCGTCGTCGTCGCCGCCTTCGTCGCCGTCGTCGTCGTCGTCGTCGCCGTCGTCACCGTCGTGGTCGTGGTCGCCCTCATCATCGAACTTCGGACTTCGGACTTCGAAATTCGGACTTCGGACTTCGAGCTTCGAATTCGGACTTCAAACTTCGGACTTCGAACTTCGAACGTCGAACTTCGAACTTTGAACTTCGGACTTCGAACTTCGAACTTCGAACTTCGACCTTCGGACTTCGAACTTCGAACGTCGCAGGTCCCCTGGGCGGGGTGTGGGGGGAGAGAGAGAGAGAGAGAGAGAGAGAGAGAGAGAGAGAGAGAGAGAGAGAGAGAGAGAGAGAGAGAGAGAGAGAGAGAGAGAGAGAGAGAGAGAGAGAGAGAGAGAGAGAGAGAGAGAGAGAGAGAGAGAGGTGGGATGGAGAAGAGAATGAGGGAGGAGCGAGGGAGGAGGGAGGAGCGGAACAGAAGGACGGAGGGCGGAACAGGGAACAGGGAAGGAGAAGGGAGGGAGAGGGGGAAGTCAATGAGGTTGTCGGATCTGCCATATTGGATGCCCACGCGGGCCTGCGCCTGGCTTGTCGCCGTTTGGCGGGGAGCAGGGCTCTTGGAAGACGCCCCTGGAGGAGGCGGAGCGGCCTCCTGGGCGGCGAACCCCGTGGGTCGCGCCCTGCGTCGACGAGGTCCGTGGCGGGCCGCCAGCGGCCCTCCGCCTCGGACCACCACTCGATGAGCTCGAGCGGGGGGCGCTGCAAAAGAACGACCTCCTGGTCCTTGGCCGCGTAGCCGCGCACCACCTGAAGGCACTGGCGGATGTGCGCGCTGTCGCCTGCGGCGTCGTTGAGGTACTTGCCTGCCGAACGGTAGCTCGTCAGGTCAACGACCGTGACGCCGTCCATCTCCATCGGGAAACGGACCAACCAGTTGGAGTACAAGTGGGCCCGCTCGTTGCGAAGGGACCAAGCCTTCGGCAAGCGCATCGTCGCGTGCAGGAAGCACGACGGCTGCGCGGGGTCGTTGCCGAAGGCGACCGACTGAAGCAGGAGGGCGCGGAACTCGTCGTGGCTGAAGCAGCCGAAGTCCTTTGGTTGGCGCAGCGCCGCTGGCTTTTCGCCGCGCCGAAGGACCCTGTACAGCCACTTGTTGTCGTTGAGGTGCGTGCACGGCTCCGTCGTGGCGCTTTTGAACGACTCCGCGGGCCCCGTATCGGAGCCCATGTGGACGTTCAGAATGCCCTAGCGGATCTCGGAACTTCGGACTTCGAACTTCGAATTTCGGACTTCGGACGTCGGGATTCGAAGTTCGAACTTTGAACTTCGAACTTCGAGCTTCGAACTTCGCGGGCCCCCCAGGAAGGTAGAGGGAGGACGAGGGGGAGGGGGGGGGGGAGGAGAACGGCGGGGAGGAGGGAGGGAGGGGGAAGGGCGAAGGAGGGAGGACGGAGGACGGAACACGGAGCAGGGAAGGAGAAGGGAGGGAGGAGAGAAGACAACGAGATTTTCAAATCTCCCACGTTGGACGCCCGAACGGGCCTGCGCCTGGCTTCTCGCCGACGCGCGCAGCGCTGACCGCAGCGGCCGCGGCGCGGCCTTCTGTGGCGGCGGCTGCGGCGGCGAGGCGGCCTCAGTGGAGCCGCGGGTCGGCGACCTGAGCGCGGGCGCCGCTGAGTGGGGCCGCGGCGGCGGCTGCGCCCTGGCCCAGGCCTGGGCCAGCAGGAGCCCCTGGTCGTGCCTCTTCTTGCGGTCCGGGCACCCGCTCTCGTGGCCGCGCCAGATGCGGCGGCGCGTCGCCAGGAAGTCCAGGAAAGCCTGCGAGCGCTGACTCCGACCCTCCTTCTCGTCCTCCCCGTTCTCGTGTCCTCCCTCCTCCCTCCCTCCTCCTCCTCCTCCTCCTCCTCCTCCTCCTCCTCCTCCTCCTCCTCTCCTCCTCATCCACCTCCTCTCCCTCCAGCTCTGGGGGGGGAGGGCGCCCTTGTCGCGCCGACTGGCTCATCGCCGCTTGACCCCCTTCCCGGCTTGTCGCCGAACGCCCCCCCGCCTGCGCGTCGTGGCCCGTGCAGCGCCTGAAAAGGGCCGCGCACGTCACGGGGCCCCTGCGGAACGACTGGTTGCAGTGAACCAGCACGTCCCCTCCGCGGCGGAGAACCTCGAGGATCCCCGGCGTCTCCCTGTCGAGCACGCGGTTGCTCGCGAGCTCGTTGCCGCGGGCGTCCACCACGACCCACTGACCCACCTGGCTTTTCGCCGTGCGTGGGTAGTGGTAGGGCTGCCTGTCGTGCGTGGCGTTGACGACCGCCTGCACGTTGCTGAGCTCCCCGTCCGACCAGTAGCTCTCCGCCTCCAACTGGCACCGCCCCGCCAGGATGAAGGAGCCCAGCAGGGTGCTGGCGCCGCCCAGGCACTGAGCGGGCACCACAGTGGGCGCCTGACGCCCGAGGCGCTGCATGGCCCGAACTGGCTTTTCGCCGTCTCGCCGCGTCAGGCGCGCCTGCTTGGGCCACAACGGCTAGGGTCGGCCGTCTCCGTTCTCTTCCTCCCGCTCCCCCGCCCGCTCCCATCCCCCCAGGAAGGAGGGGGGTGGAGGGATGGAAGTGAAAGCCCTGCCGCGGAACGCGGAAAAGAGAGACGACGACGAGAGGAGGAGTACAAGAGCGAGACACGGGGAAGGAACCGATGGTGGTACGAGGAACTGAAGGAGGAACAATGAAGGGAACAGAAGAGGGAGGGAGAGACGGGAGGAGAAGGATATCAGCGAGAACAGAATGAGGGAGGGGGAGAGAATGGTGAACAGGGAGGGAGGAAGGAGGAGGGGGGGGAGGAGGGAGGGAGGGAGGAGACAGGAGAGGGAGGAGGGAGGAGAAGGGACTGACAGAGAGAGGGAGGGAGGAGGGAGGGAGGAGGAAGGAGGAGGGAGGGAGCAGGGATGGGGGGGGAAGGAGGAGGGAGGGAGGGAGGAGGGAGGGAGGGAGGAGGGAGGGAGGGAGGAGGAAGGAGGAGGGAGCAGGGAGGAGGGAGGCAGGAGGAGGAAGGAGGGAGGGAGGGAGGAGGGAGGGAGGGAGGAGAAGGGACTCACTGAGGGCGGAGGTCGGACATCCTACAATACTGTCACGCGACAACGCCTATCGACACTCCTGGAATCCAGCCATGGCTCGGGCGCTAGCTGCGCGCCCACGTATCCATATCGCGCGCGGCTGTAATTGCAACATGTATCCACTAACGTGATAAAACGCAGGTACATAATCAGTGGCTCTACATAACATGTCTCCATGGGCGACACTCCACCCCTGGGTACGGATTACTGGCCTCATTTGCCTGGGTACGTTTTACTGGTCTGATGTTGCCACGCTAGAAGATGTGGTCGATGGTGGACGTGTGGCCACTGTGTGAATAGTATGTAGGGCCCCCCCTTCGATCCGCGGTAACAGCGTCAAACATCTCCAGAGGGGCCAGCAACTCATCCTGGATCAAATTGCCGATCACGTTCTGTTCCCCCATGTTGTACGGGCCCGCCAGGGGCCGCTCCTGTTCCCACCAAGACGCCGATGCCGAAGGCGAAACGCGAGCCCCCGCGGAGGCCCATCTGAGTATTGAAGTCCCCTGCGACGATCGGAGTAGACCTGTTGGGCGCTTCTGGACCTGCTGGATTCCCCATCGGATCACTTGGGTGGACCCCTTCTCCAGAGCCTTACGCTTCTTCGCCGAGGCGTCTCCGATGGGGGGAAAGTATAGCAACACCACGCTCAGGTCGATACTACGATTACGAAGCCGAACCGCTAGACCTCTACCTTGTGCAACCTCTGGGGGGGTGTCGATGTTCCTAACATGTTTGGCCCTGAACAGGTTCCCCACCAGGATCGTACAGCCCGCCGAACTATTCGAGAAAGGTCCTGCTCTCCAGCCCGCGTTCAAGGCGAACGCCCCACCTCCCAACGGCATCCGTGTAACTGCATGGCCAGGTTGAGCTTTCATCCGAGTCCCTGGGAGGAGGACGAGGTCGGCTCGAACAGTTCTCCATATAGAGGAGGAGGGAGGAGGAGGAGGAAGGAGGAGGGAGGAGGAGGAGGAGGAGGAGGAGGAGGAGGAGGAGGAGGAGGAGGAGGAGGAGGAGGGGGAGGGAGGAGGAGGAGGAGGAGGAGGAGGAGGAGGAGGAGGAGGAGGAGGAGGAGGAGGAGGAGGAGGAGAGGAGGAGGAGGGAGGAGGAGGAGGTGGAGGAGGAGGAGGGAGAGGAGGGAGGAGGAGGAGGAGGACGAGGAGGAGGAGAAGGAGGAGGAGGAGGAGGAGGAGGAGGAGGGAGGAGGAGGAGGAGAAGAGGAGGAGGAGGAGGAGGAGGAGGACGAGGAGGGAGGGGAGAGGAGGAAGAGGAGCCCGTAGCCAACCGTTCCTGCAGCCGCACCCGGATCTGAGATATCAAAGCATCCGATGTCGGGCTCTCGGTGTTCGCGCCGCCAGAGGTGCGTGCCGGCAGCGCGGGCCAGCAGCTTCGCCCGCGAGACTTCCCCGCCACGCGTGGCCACGAAGCTTTGGCTTTTCCTGCGGCTGCACGAGTGGAGGGAAGGTCGTGTCCAAACAGCGGGTCAGTGAGTCTCGTCTCCGCGCCGCGCACATGCATGTCAAGCTGCGGAGGGGAGCGAGAGGAACCACAGAGTGAACGATACGAAGCAGATGCGGAGCGCCAACGGCTTATGTCTGTAGCGGTCTCTCTTCTTCGAACCTGGGATTAGGTCGGGCATGTCCTCCTTCAGCCGCATTTTGAAGGACAAAACAGAAGTAGCCAAACATATTCAAACATAGTTAAAAAGTAGAAGAATCGTCCCCAGACTATCTTTGGACAACTATTTTAGAATATTCCTCCTGTAGGGGGACATGCCCGACTTAAAACTAGGAGGCCCAGGGTCCTGGATCATCTGTGCGAAGGGGTTGTACTTCTTGGACCTGCCGCGGTGCACGCCGTAGCTGGGCGCGCTGGAGGTGCTGTGCCTCCGGGTCTTCCCCGCGGTGGTGCCGGGGGAGGGCGGGCGTCGGCAGCTCGGAGCTCTGTCAAGGGCCCAGGGAGGGGGGCGAGGTGCGCCTCCCTCCCTCCCCCGCCCCTCCACCTCCGCCCCCCCCTCCGCCCCCCTCCCCCTCCCTCCCTCCAACACCCCCTTCGCCCATCCACTCCTCCGCCCCTCCCCCTCCGCCTGCCTCCCTCCTCCGCCCCTCCCTCCCTCCTCCCCCCCTCCCCCCCTCCACCCTCCCGCCCCTCCCCCTCCTTCCCTCTCCGCCCCCTCCGCCCCTTCATTCCTACGCCTGCCTCCCTCCTCCGCCCCTCCCTCCCTCCTCCGCCCCGCCCCCCCCCCTCCTCCGCCCCTCTCGCCTCCGCCCCCTCCGGCCCTCCGCACTCCGTCCTGCCTCCTCCGCCCCTCCGCCTCCCTGCCTCCTCCGCCCCGTCCTCCCTCCTCCCCCCCTGCCCCCCCCTCCCCAGAGTTCAAGAGAGGCGGCTGCCCGCCTAGAAGTCCCCCCGATCCCCGCCGCCCAGCTCCTCAAGGAAGGTGCCCAGGCGGCGGCTGAGAAAGGCCCCGGGAGCCTCACGGTTTCGGGTCAAGGTCGGGTCGGCCAACCCCTGGTGGAAACCGCGCGTGCGCACACGCGGTGGCATCTGGGCCGTCCCCAGAGGGCCGCGCAGAACCGCAGCAGGACACCGTGTGGTGCATCATTTTCTGGACGGTCCTCCAGGCGACGGGTGTTGAACCGCAAACCATACACTGCGTCTGGGGGCCGCGAGCTGGCACTAAATGGGACACACACACACATACAATCGTACCCTGGGCAGGTTCCCGCATAACACGTGATGTTCCTCCGCCCCCTTCCCTGCCTCGTACTTCCCTTACAGTAGCTGAACGGCGCGCGCTACCATGTATCTTGTGCAGCAGTTTGGGCGACTGTCTGAGGTCAAAATTGTGCACGAGCACCCAGGCGCATGTGTTCAGTTGTATGTCTCCCCAAACGCGCAAGGCCAATTCCAATCCCATCCCATCCCTGCCCACCTCGAGCCTGCCCTGGCGAGCAGGACTTTCTGGGCCGCCTCAATCGGCTTCTCCCGCCAGGATTGAGGAACACACAAACACATGCTCTCACACACAACACACAACACACAACACACAACACACAACACACAACACACAACACACAACACACAACACACAACACACAACACAACACAACACAACACAACACAGCACAACACAACACAACACAACACAACACACACACAACACACACAACACACACACACACACACCACACACACCCATACCCATAGCGGGGACGGGGGGGCCATGAGTGCCCCTGTTCCGACAACACGCACCCATACCCATTGCCAGTCCTCCTCCCCCCGACCCCGTTATGGGCATGTGTTTTGTTCGCTCGCCAAGGTTTCTCGGCGGTGGATCAACCTCCTGTTAATAAACCTCCCTTTAATGAAAACGGCCTAGGACCAACATCGACGGACCTGGACCCGCAAAAATGACGGCCGCGACGCCCTCTCGCGAACCGAAAACGGCCAATTCGCTAATCGACGTGTCAGGGTACGAGGTATATGAACCGCCGAGATTGCCCAGACCTGGCAGCATGGCCTGAGGCAAACCCACCCTGAAGCCCAGCAGCGCAGCACCCAGTGGGAGCGGCCCGTCTCGCCCCGCCGCGTAGTGTGCCTCCCACCGTCTCCTGTGGGTCCTGGGATTAAGTCTGGCCTGTCCTCCCACAGGGGGATTTTAGACGACAAATTATAAAAAAGTCAAACAATACCCCAACATGCTCAAACAATACTCGAAAAATCGTCCCCAGACTATTCTCTGACCATTTTTGACCCTTCCTCCTGTGGAGGGACAGGCCCGCCTCAACTCTCGGACCAATGCTGGCGATCCTGCCCAGGAAGCGTGTAGGCGAACCCATCCTGTCCTGTCCTGTCCTGTCCTTGCGAATGGAGGCGGCCCTGCCCTGCTGGCGAGCCCGAAGGGCGGCCCAACCAACAGGTATGGATCCACGGCACGTGGATGCGCGAGCTCTGGCGCATGCGAGCTTTGACTAGCAAGAGGTCGACGAGGCGCAGAGAAATGCCCAGGCTTTTGGCTGGCGTCTGCAAGGCTCTGAGGGAACCGCCAATGCCAATCATTGCTGGGCTGTGGACAGACACGCTGCAAGGAAACATGCAATGTGCTGCTGGGACTGCCAAGCGATGTTTGGCTACCCATCGGTCGGAAAGAGTAGGTAGGCACATGACGTAGAAAGGCGTTGAAAGCAGATTGGGTTCCGTCCGCCCCCTAAGGAGGAGGGAAAAGGCGCAGCTACTCGATCATTGAAGTAGGAAGGCGCTTGAGGTAGCTTGGAATATGGGACTCCAGAAACACCGACTTTCAACGACCGGCCAGAGGCTTCAAGAAGCGTTACCCCCGCTCCCCTTCCAGCAGTAGCAAGACCACTGCGCTCGTATGTTTAACATCGTGCCGCCCCCCACACAGCGACGCCACGAGCCCTGTGGTCTCTCGGCATGCTCGATATGTTGATCCGAGAGGCGCAGCAGGCATCGAGGGCGGGGAGCCGCAGCCAGTAGGCGAAACTGACACTTCCAGTCAGATGCGATGGGCCCCTTCCCTGCACGCCCTTCTGCTCCTGCTGATGCTTCCCCTCCCCCCCTTGCTCTCCACCTGCGCCCGATCCTGCCCCTCCTGCTCCTCCTCGCTCTCATCCTCTTACGCGCCCTTCTCCAGCACCACCAACTCCTCCTGCCTCTTCTCCTCGCTCAATAGATGTCATTTCCCCTCCGTCCTCCTCTCCTTTCTGAGAGGGGGCTTGGAGCTGCGGCAAATCATTACGATGTGGCATTACCAGAAGGTTGTTTGGTATGTGTCCTGAGGTCTCAGGGAGGGGCCGCAGGGCTCTGTAGGGGGAAGGAGGGAGAAGTGGAGAAAGGGTATGGATGATGAGGAGGAGGCGGGACAACATTTTCCCCCCGCGCACAGCGACAAAGGCCAACACACACACACACACCACAACAGCGGCGCAAGACCGTCAGCTGCGGCACGGAATCGCCGAGAAGTACGCGCACACACAGAACCAGTGCCCCACGTCGTACACGCTGGCAAAGTCCAACATGGCGCCCACAAGTGTGCCAGCATGCCGCGACCGGATCTCGTCGGTCAGGTCGCAGAGCCCAACGATGCCGTATCTGTTGCCAGCCAGGTGGGCGAGAAAACACACGACGTACACCATGAAGAGCAGCAGGCAGCGCACGCCTGCTTGCAGGCAGGCGGGCTCCATCCAGTGGCTGGCCTGCCAGAAGCAAGCGACGAAGTACGCCAGCGCCAGCCCCTGCGTCACAACATTGTGCTGCGGCGCCAGCAAGGTTCCGGCGGTGCTGAAGCAGAAGACGGCAATGCCCGACGCGAGGACTCCCTGCTGGAGCTCCGCGGGCGCCGTCTCCCACAGAGGGCAGAACAGCAGGGGCATGATGGTGCTCAGGTCCACGGCTTTAAAGACACGCTCCACGGTGGCACTGATCGTGAGGAATTGCCAGAGGACGTTCGCTGTCTCGGGCCTTGCCTAATGAGGGGGCGAGATAGAAGGGGGGGGGGGGGGGGAAATTCGCACCCCGCTGGGCCCCCAGGGGGCCCCTTCAGGGTGCAGAAGGTGCACCTCTCTTCGCCCTCCCCCCAGTTGTCGCCCCCCCATTAAGCCAAGCCCGTCTGTCCAGTGGACCAGACACACTGGGTTCCGCAGCGAGTACAGCTCGTAGAGCAACATGACGACGTGGCTCCAGCAACGGGAGTGAGTCTTCACGCCGCCAGACCCGAAGTAGTGTTTCATGCCGCGGCCGCAGTGGGAGAAGAGGGAGACAGATGAGCCTCGCCCCTATGGGAAGGAGCCTTGAGGAGGCTTCGCCATGGGGCGTTGCAACCCGGGCCGAGTAGTTTGAACCAAAATACTACTGGGGAACACGACCGGAGCAAACCAAACATCATCAACAATGCTGCAATACACCCGTCCGTCCCAAGTCCCATCCTCAACTTCCCTACAGACCTTCCTGCACATTGACAGACGCGTAACCTTGCAACTCAGCGAAGTGTCTAACGAGACCCCTGCTTTGAAACATCACCGCCCCCCCATCCATGCAACGGTTGCAAATGAGTTCTCGCTCGTTTCCCCATGCGTGCACGGCGAATACTGAGAGTGTCAGCCCAAGAGGCTCCGAAAAGGCCCCCAAAAGGCCCCCATGAAGCAGCAAAAGAGCTCCAAGAAGCCAACCAAAGGCGCACAAGAGGCCCTCAAGAGCATCATACAACGACCGCCAGTTCCCCAAAACTTCGGTGGTGTGGAGTAAGCCCAATAATCCAACCGATCTGATAAAACATGGCCACGTGGGAAAGCATAGACATCGCACATGATAGCGATACGCCAATGACGCGCGTACAAGCGCGCCTCATCCCATAAGAATCGCATAAGGAAGACCTGCGACCCCAAGACAATACCTGTATGACATACGCGGGAGATATTTGATATCGGTAGGGCAGGCACTGCAGATTAATCATAACCCATGGGGTCCCAGTAAGAGCACATCAACTATTATCAAACACGCACGGGGACAGATGGGGAGCCATGTGAATAGTAATGACAACTGTAGGGGCGGACAAATGAGAAATAGCAACACCAGTCACAACTATGAGCGTTGTCGGGAAGGACGTACGACTGTTACAATGCGCGCAACAACTCTCGCTACGACTTCAACTGCTACGAGTACTCCGCGTGCGCAATAAAACGCTGTGACGTAGGACTGCCAATGGGAGGGTCCGTTGTTCGCACTTGGTCACTTGGCTGGTCAGTTCGATCGCAGCAGAGGCGGCAGCATCAGCAGCTCCATTCCCAGCAGCAGACCCGAGGAGGATCCTATGATGGGGTAAGACGTCATTAAAAGAAGGGCAAAGACAGGTAAGGCAACGACGACCACGAAGACCACTAGGCCGCGCGGAGCCTGAACGACCTGAGGCGCTGGCTCGACTCGCCTTCACCTCTGGAGCAGCCAAGACCACAACGATGGCCGAGATTTCTCATCCGCTCTCTCCCTTCCCTCCCGCCCTCCCTCCCTCTTCCTCCTCCTCCTCCTCCTCCTCCTCCTCCTCCTCCTACTGCAACATCACTCCATCATTCTTCTATCCCTCTTCCTTCTCCTTCCACTTTTGGCCCTCCCCGCCCCCTACACATCCCCCTCTTGTTCTTCCCTTACTCCCTCCTTCCTCAGATCCTTTCTCCGTCCTACTCCACCTCCCTGTTTCTCACCAGCGTCCCACCTCGTGCCTGTCTTCCCTGCCCCCAACCTCATCCTCGCCCTCCTCCTTGCTCGCCCCACCCCCTACTCCTCCTCCTCTTCCTCCTCCTCCTCTTCCTCCTCCTCCTCGTCCTCCTCCTCCTCCTGGTCCTCGCTCATCCTTCTTGCCCAGGAGCTATCTTGTCAGCCTCCCAGGCCCGATGAGCTGGACAGCCTCACTACTCCTCCTCCTCCTCCCAAGACGAAGCCAAGACGACTGTAACATCGGATGAGGGTAAATCGAGAATTTCTGAGATCCGGCCGCTGTGGAGGACGTATCTGGCGCCGCGGCCTTCTCAGAGCGTTCTGGAACGCTCTGGAACGAATTTATCCTCGTCCTAGCCCCGTCCGACCTCCTCCTCCTCCTCCTCCTTCCCCTCCTCCTCCTCTGTCGGTCTGCCTGTCAAGTCAAAGGTGGATGTCGCTCTTCCTCATTCTGCTCACTTCTCTTCCTCTCGCCCCCCTCGCCGCCACCTCACACCTGCTTTCATTGGAGGCCGACGCCCTAATCCAAACCCCTTTTTCAGAACCCCCGACGTGGTGACTCTGTTCCAACTTTGACCCCCAAGAAGGTCGAGACCCGTTTGGCAAGATCGGTGTTTCATCCCGGATCGCCTTTTGATGGCCCTGGGGGTCTGGCAAGGGCTCCCAGAGGCCGAAAGCGGCGAGAAACCTTTTGCATTTTTCAAGCACGTTGAATGTCTGGGTTTGATTTGGCTCGCCGCCAGCTAGGATTAGCTCGGGCATGTCCCTCTACAAGCGGGCGTTGGACGAAAAATGAAACATAGTCACAAAATACTCCAAGTAAACTCAAACGACAGAAACATCGTCCCCAGACTATTTTTGAATCTTCCTCCCGTAGAGGGACAGGCCCGACTTCAAGCTGGGATGCACGACAGCAGTGGCCGTGGGCAAGGGCGCCCTCTGGATGCGCGGCCTGCCGACCATGCAGGGGCCTCCTGGCTGGGGTCGGCGTAGCTGGGGTCGGAGGATCGCGCCGCATCGCCGATGCATCCGCGACGCATCGGCCATGCACTGGCGACGCCGCCGGGATCCGGCCCTCACGTTCACTGCGACGTGAGAGCCTCAACCTCGTCCGACGACGTGCCTTGCAGCACCGCGCGCCTCTTCTGGTGGCCAGAAGAGGGGCCTCGTGACCAGTGAGCGCCGCGCCTGCACTGGCGACGTCGGCGTTACGTCCGCGACTTCGGCGTGGAGCCACTCGGGCCCCACATCGAGCCGCATCGGCGATGCATCGGCGATGCGGCGAGATCCTTCGACCCCTTCTTCTCCGACCCCATCTGGGAGGCCTAGACCATTGCGTGTGATGCGACAGCAACGGTCTATGTGCTCGGGCTTGCCCCCACCCCCCCACCCCTGCCACCCGTTCCCGCGAAAGCCGCCCACCAGAGGTCACTCTGGCGAGGGGCAATATCGGTCAACATCGAATCGGGAGGTCGTATTGGAACGAGAGTTCGGATTGGAACGTGCGTCGCATCGGACTGCATCGGCACGGCGCTGAACAATCGCATCGCATCGGCCGTGTCAGGATGCACAACAACGCCATGCAAACGTCGAGCCGCATCGGATCGTCGGAACATCTTGGGGGTCCCAACGCCGTGTGGTGACAGATCCGACGGTGACCTCGAAATCCACAAAGACGTCACCGCAAGGTCCGCCACCATACGGTTTTGGGACCTCGAAGGCCCCAGTCGCCCGAGACATCCTCGAAGAACGACCTAAATCCCGAAGCCGTGCGGTGACCCCGAATCCCCACCGACTCACTACACAATGTGGTCACCACCATGTTTTGGGGCTCCCGAACATCCGAATCGAATCGGACCGAGCCGGCCGGAATCGATATCGAATCCGGCCTGAGGGGCCACTCCTACGTGTAGCCGAGCAGCAGACGTCGAACCTGGGCCACCCCCTGCGGTCTTCGACGGGCCCAGTCGCCCCCAGCGCGGAGCGCGGAGCGGCCCTGGCCGCGCTCTGGCGCGGCGCCGCCGCCGTCGTCCTCTGCAGGGGGGGCAGCACGAGATCTCGTATCCTCGTCCTCGCCTCCTCGCCTCCTGGCCGCCATGTCCCCATCTCCTCGCCCTCGCCTCCTCGGCTTCGCTGCCGAAGTCTTGCCCTGCATCCCCCAGGGCAGGCAGGTGTGTGGATGCTTCCTCGCCCTCGAGGGCTGGCGGACATCCGCTCCTCGACCGGCCCTCGAGATCTCCAGGCACGACTTCCAAGCAGTGGCTGTATGTACATTGTGGTGGGTGTTCGACGCGGGCGCTTGACGACGCGCATAGACATCGGGCAACTCGAAACAAACATCGAGCCGGCCGGCGTTTCGCCAAGCTTGGCCCTCCAAAGGCCGGTTCTGGACCGAGGACGTCATGAAACTACGGATAGCTGGCTCCGGAGAAGGAGAGGAAGAGCTGGGAGGGAAGTTGAGGGAAGGCGGGAGGAGGGCAGAGGAGGGGCTGGAGGAATGAGGTGGCATGATCACACCTATCTTATTCGGGCACGAGTGGGCCACCATCACCAGAACCCGTCTGTAAGCGGGACTCGATGAGTGGTGGCCGCCCGCCACGTACCCGGGCCCGCCTACCTGTATCAATATCATGGTGACCTGGCACCTTGCTTTGATCGTAGGTGTGCTGCCTGGTCCCGTGCCGTGGAGATGATTCCCGCGATCCTCATCCGAAAATTAATTCTGAGCGATCCCATCGAATCCGATCTCTTGGGTGGTGGCACCTCGGATGGTGTGAAATTGCTGGCGCAGTGGCCCACTGATTGGTGACACGGACTGCGCCGTTCCAGCGCGCACGGCCCAGTGGCGGTGCTCCTAGGTGGCAGAGCAGGCCGAAGGGGACTTGGGTGGAGCGGGGAGGCGAACGCCAGAGAGCCAGGAACACCCAAAGCGCGAACCCCTGGGGAGGCGCGGGCGGCGGAGGGGCCAGGAAGGGCACATGCGGGGAGGGGGTCCTAAACATGCGACGCGCTTGGCTGTTCAACTCGCGCCCCCCACCCCACGATTTTTTGGCTTTGCCCGTGGCGGCGGGCACTGGGGAATCGTCGGCCTGGAATCGGCGATACGCCGCCGCTGGGTCGGCGATGGGCCCACGATACCAAATCAGCACAGTCCTTGGCGGGGCAGGCTATTGTTATACCGGGCAACCCTCGCAGGCCACTCTGTTTCACGGCGAGTGCTTCTCTGCTCCTCCCCTGTGAGCTCTCGGGGGCATCGTTTCCAGATGGATTGGTGGGGGCGGGCGAAGCGTCGAGATTCCAGCTGTCACTCTCACCACCATTGCAAGCTCAATGCGGAGGCGCCCTGCGAATGTCCCAGGAGTGTTCCGACATGTATTCTCAGTCGATTTAGTTCGGCCGTTCAATTCATTAAATTCATCCAACTCGTTCAACTAAGTTCATGTCCGTGGCGCGTACCTCGTTCATTCCAAGTCTTTGGTTTAACTCGGTCAACTCATTGATGTCTTTCTAAATGGATTTTTAAGCAGATGATTCCAAATTCTCATCAATCTAACTCAAATCAGTTTACTTCAATACTAATGCGATGCGTACTAATGCAACTTACGTTTTAGTTCGTGTATGTCTAATTCGATTCACATAACCTAATTGAAATCGATTCACTTAACCTAATTGAAAAGAACTATATCTTGAACTATGTCGAAAAATTCTGCGATTCCCGCATAACGCCGTCGCAGGTCGTTTTAAATCATTCTCAAGTAATTAAGCCCGTCAGCGAAAAACCAACGAAAGAGCGTGGCAAAACTCACTCAGTTCCGCCCTGGCTTCGCTGGCTTCGGGTAAAGCGCCCGAAACTCGCGGGCCCACCCTTCGCGCTCAGCCTGCGCGCGGAGCGAGTGCCGCTGCGCGTTCGGGTTCTGTGTCCCGCTGCGCACGCCCCACCTGCCGCTCGCGCAGAGGGCACCGCTGCCCCTGCGGCGGTTGCCACCTGGTGCGCTGCTGCTGGCAGTGGCGTCTGGCGTCGGCTGCTGGCTGGGGCCGCCGGCGTCGGGCGCCGGCGCCGGCTGCTGGCTGGGGCCGCTGGCGTCGGCTGCTGGTGTCGGCTGCTGGCTGGGGCCGTTGGCGTCGGCCGCTGGCGTCGGCTGCTGCTCGGCGTAGACCTCCTGCTCCAGGTCTGGGATGAGCGTGTCCACCGCGACCTCAGGCCATCGCGGCGCGTGCTCCATGCCCCAGGACTCCGCGCAGCTGCGCTCGAATTCAAGCATCCACTGGCGGCGGCGCTCCATGCGCGCTTCGAATCCCGCCGCGTCCAGCGCCGGCACGCAGGTCGCCGACGGCGCGCGGGGCGGCGGCGCCGAGCGCTGGCGGCCGTCGGCCATCGCGCTCCGCGCGCTCCGGCACGCAGCCGAGAAGCAGCCGCTGAAGGCGAGCCGCGCGGCCGCGGAAAAGAAAAGAACGCGGCGACAAGGGGCGCCGCGCGTCGGCCCCGACACCTGCGCGCGCCCACAACGGGGGAGGGGGCGAGGATGGACAGGGGGTGGGATGGGGGGGATCGAGGACGGGGGGGAGAGGGAAGAGGAGGAGGAAGAGGAGGGCGAGGAGGGAGCCGCAAGGATAGCCCGCCCCAAGACTTCCCGAGACAGCCCATCTTCCGCCCCTTTTAAGGGAATCGCGCAACCCAAAACTGCAAAAACAAAGCAAAGCGCAAGGATGTCCACCCGAAAAGCCACGCGCGCGCGACGCGCGACCGCTGCCCAAGAACGGGCGGGATTTCTGGGCACACTTCCTCATCCCCCCCCCTCTCCTTAAGGCTTCTACTGCGTCCCTCTTGCACGTGCCCGACTCGAGCAAAAGCGCTGCCATCTCGCGCAATTCCACAGAAGCCTCTCGACGCGCATCGCAGCCCCAGATGGAACTCATATGAAATATGATTCGGCTCCACTCAAAATCAGAAGACATAAGATAATGACGAGCTTAGCTGCCTAAGTCTAATCCGTTCTGCCTCGACGCAACTGGGAGTCTCGCATGTAGCTCGAATGCCAATGGATGCATCGACGCCGCGCGAGAAGGCGGCAAGACGGGGGAACGGCGCGCGGGGCAGTCTGGGCGCGAGCCGTCCGCAGCCAGACCTCGGTCATGTGGATTCGCGACCTGGTGGGCCGTCAGCTGTCCGGCGCGCCGCCCCCTCGGCCGACGTCGCCCAGGCGCGATCCTGGGCCGCGGCCGCCAGGTCGGGAACGGCAGGCAGGAGGGCGGCGACTGGCGGCTGAAGCTCCACGCGCTGCTTTCGCGCGCCGAGCGCCAGCTCGCCCGGGCGCCGCGCATCGGGCCCTTCCCGGCAGGGCCGCCGGAGGGCTGGCGGAAGCAGCTGAAACTGTCTGTTTGCGACGAGCGCGAAGCGGTGCAGGAGGGAGGCGACGGCCCTCGCCAGGAAGCTGTCCTTCGCCGAGTTTATCCACCAGGCCTGACCTGGGTGCGGCGCGCCCGAGCCGCGCCGCCTTACCTCGGCGCGCTGGAACTCCGGCGCGCGTCTCCGGAAATCCCGAGGAGCGACCCGCGCAGGCCCTGGGAAATCCCGCGCGCCCTGCCATTAGCCCGCCATCATTGTTTCAGCATTGCGCTGCGGAGGACACCGCCTGGCCGCCACTTGAGTCGTTTTGCTTCCAGCCTTGGGCGACCTGCGCGCGTCTCCGGAATGCCCCCTGGATGACTGGAAGGCGCCCATGGTAACTCGTTATGCTGTTTATGCGCATTGTCACCGCAGGGGCCGCTCAGGCTCGACCCGGTCAAAGGCAGTCAGTGCCCCCCCCCCACCTCGGGCGCAGCGGTTACTGCGGAGCTCGTTGCTGGGATGGCCGCTGCCGCGCGTTGGAAGCGAATGTCGTTCCTGATCAACGACGGGGCAACCCTTCTGTTTCCTCGAAACCCTCGACCTGGTCGATGTAATCTCTACCGTTGTCGTCGCTTTCGTTGACGTCCGCCTCAAGAGCCCGGGCCTGGTTGATGTATATCGAACTCCGCGGCCCTCCTCCAGTCGATCTCGCTGTTGACCTTCTTGATATCGTCCTGCATCGCCTGCAGGCGGCTGGCCGCGCGCGAGCCAGCGGCGCGCGCTGGCTGTCGCAGACGTCTGGATGACCCCAGCTCGTCGTCGGAATCTCTCGCCAGAGGATGACCGGCGCCTGTCGGGGGGATTCCACTCAGATCGCGTCTTCTTCGCATCGCCTCGCCGCGAACCACGGGGGCGCTATCCGCTTACCCTGAATCGCAGTGGACGACCCCCGCGCGTCGATGGGACTCCCTCGGGATGACCAGACCGCGTCGGCGGGGACTCCCTTGCCACTTTCGCGCGGCGCCGCCTGCACGGTGCACTCTGCTTGGCTCGCTATCCGCCCGGAGGCAAACATGCCACCCATCGTCTCTCGCTCGTCCTGCTTCCCTTCGCTTCCCGTACCGCGCACCCACCCGTCTCGTTTCTGCCGCTGCTGACCTGCCTCTGACATCTACGCAGTGTCTCCGTAACCTCTTCCTGCGTGCCCAGTAACAGGTCTCAATACGCGCTGATGCTGATGTGGTGGCTCGCCCCACGGAACATTCCTCATCCGCCAGCCACCTCCTGTCCGCGCTGTTGTGTGTCTCCTCCATGCAGTGGTGCGGCGCCCATGAGAAGAGGGTCCACACCTTGCGCTACTCGTAGTTTGTGTGTCCCCTTCCTTCGTCTCATATCCTGGTCGGTACTCGCAGCTGCATAGGGTTGGGTCCTTCGCCAGGCTAAGTTTTGTCTGTGATTGAATATTCGTCCTGTAGAGGGACAAGCCCGACTTAAGGCTATCGGGCCCCCGATCAGCGATGGAGGGGCGATCGGTAGCCGATGCGCTGCCCCCTCCCGAACCTGCGATTTTTTTTTGTCCGACACGGGGTCCCAAGAAGTCCCGACCCCTTCCACACGCATGGCTTCTTATCCCAAGCCAGTTCGTCTGACGGCCCCGACGCTCGGCTGTCGGCCCCACAGGAAGCCGCCGTGCTTCCTACGACGCGCATCGCGCCTGTGATGGGCAAATTCTCCACCACCGCTACCATATGTAGGACGGTGGACAAGGGAGAATGATGAGGTCCTCCTCCTCCTCCTCCTCCTCCTCCTCCTCCTCCTCTTCCTCCTCTTCCTCCATATGGTAGTGGTGGTGGAAAATGGCCCCAGCAACCTGGGCTGACCCAACCCACCGTTGGCGTTGAACCCAAGAGGTGCCGGCGGACGTCGCCCCGCGGGAGGGCGTCCGTGAGGCAGGTGGCGACATCCGCGCCATACCCCCCGCAAGAACCGTCGGCTCTCCTGAATGTTAGGAGGCAACTACTGGGAGGCTTTCGTCGGGAGGATTAAAGAGGACTAAGCCCCATTGGGGGGCTGTTACGCCTGAGTGGGCCTCGGATTAAGCGGGATTAAGCCGGATTAAGCGGGATTAAGCCGGATTAAGCCGGATTAAGCGGGACTTCGGACCAGGGCAAAATCAGAATTTGACCTCCCATGGGTTGCATCCGAATGGATGGATGGGAGACGGTACAGTGGGGGCTCGACCACAAAGAACCTGCCAGAAGGAGCCTGGCCGTGAATCCTCTGGGCGCATCTGGGTCCGTGGTGTCAGAACGCCACGCTGCCCACAGCAAGCCCATCCAAACCCAGGGCACCATGAAGACAAGGCAGGGTGCTTCTTGGCATGGTCTTCCACTGCATGGTTCGAGTGCTGGCGCGTGTCCGACGAACTCCGAGCCCTGGCCCCGCCGCCCCTCGAGTTGCCTGACTCGCTGCTCGGCGAGGGCAAGGGTCGGACTTCGCCGCCGAGCGGAGGGCGGCATGGGCTTCCACTGTAGTGTTCGAGTACCGGCGCGTGTCCGACGAAGTCCGAGCCTCAGCCCCGCCGCCTCTCGAGTTGCCCGACTCGTTGCTCGGCGAGGGCCGGACTTCGCCGCCGAGCGGAGGGCGGCCGCACCCTACCCAGCGGGCGTCGCCCGCCAGCACCCCCCGAGGGCGCCTGCCCAGGGAGGGAGAGGGGGGGGGGGCAGGCTCAGCGCAGGCATGGCTGCGCGCGTCGTACAGAAACGCTGCTCGGCGAGGGCGAAGGCCGGGCGAGGTCGGGCACGGCCTCCTACAGGCGAATCGTGGACGAAACATGCAAATAGTCGAAACAAATTCAAAAATGGCCCCCAACAAATGGTCAACACAAGTTCGAAAATAGCCAAAAAGAGTCAACACACATTCAAAAATATTCAAAAATCGTCCCCAGACTATTTCGTGACTACTTGGGGATGCTCCTCCTGTAGAGGGACTGGCCCGACTTGAGGGCAGAGGGTTCGGAGTTCGCCGCCAAGCCGCGCGGACGGCGGCCGGCCCTGCAGCAGCCGCTGCCGCTTGGCGGGGCGCCGCGCTCCCGCACCCGTTCCGTGCGCGCGCCGAGGCCGGCAGTGCGCCGCCGCAGCGACGGCGCGGGCGCGGATCGGGGGCCCGGTAGTCCACCCCGCCCAGGACCGCACGAGTTTCTGGCCGAACGAAAGGGGGGGATAGGGAAAAGAGGGGTTACGAAATCTGCTGCATGCAGCTGGCTTCGGCCCCGCCACCGGGCCCATTCCTCAATACAGATGGGGCGCCTCCCGGTACCGGGAGGCGGCGCCGGGAAAATTAGCTACGTGAGCTGATTCTCAACCCCCACCTTTGCTATCCCCCCCCCCTTTCGCCCGGCCCGAGTTCGCTACAGTCAGCCCGTATAGTGAGGATGCACGATGAGGATGCAAGGGCCTTGGACGGCCACTTCGGAGCTTTCCAAGCGGGGCGCGGGCGGCGAGAGTGGCCAAGGATGGGCCGAGGAGGCCCGGTGTTGAGGGTACCCTTGGGAAGGTTGCCAATCCTTACTGTGCGGATAGAGGCCTCCTAGACGGGGTGGGAGTTGATGGGGTCGGAGGATTGCGCCGCATCGCCGATACATCGGCGATGTATCGGAACTTATGTAGCGGCGATGTATCGGCGATACATCACCGCCGAGGCATCGCGAGGCATCGGCGCCGTCGGCGTGGAGAAAATCGGGCCCCACATCGAGCCGCATCGGCGATGCATCGGCGATGCGGCGCGATCCTCCGACGCCATCTGCTCGGACCCCACCTGGGACGCCTAGGGCGGATTGACCGCATCGTGGGCCCATCGCCGGCCCATCGGCGACGTAATCACCAGGCCGACGTTGCCCATGTCTTGGACGCCCGAAATGGGTACGGAAAAAATGGGTACAATGCCCAACAACAAACGTTGTCCCAAACCAGTAGCGGCCGCTGTTGGGCAGGCGGCCTTCTGCCTCAAATGTACACGGGCCGCGGCGACACCGACGGCGAGTCCTGCTCAAAATGAAATGGAACCGCTGTTGGGCATTGGACCCCTTCTGTCCGCACCCATTTCGCTCGTGCCGACATGTGGCCGCCGCCACGGGCGAGCCCAGTAACGACCGTGGTGGCGCGAGGCGCGGCCGCGTGCCGCCGGGAGCGGCGGCGGCCCCCTGGCCCGCCCCATGAGGCCGGCCGCTGCCTGGCGGTGCGCTGCGAAACGTGCGGGGTGCCGCTGGCCCCCTGGCCGGGCCAGGAGGTCAGCGTCTTCTTGTTCGGCGCTTCGACATTCGGCGGCGGTGGACAAACCTCCCGTTCGTGAACCTCCTTTTCGTGAAACCGGCGCGGGACCGAAACCGACGGGCCTGGGCCCGCAGAAGTGTCGGCCGCGACGCCCTTTCGCGAACCGAAAACGGCCAATTCCTTCGCGTCAGGGTAGGAGGTCTGTCCACCCCCTAATTGGGCGGACGGGGGGGGCTATGGCTCCGGACCTCTGCTCAGTAATGCCACTATTTGCAGCAGTGCGTCCTACGGGGGAAACCCCACCTGGTCGAAACAGGCGCCAAACAACAGCCAAGATCCACTCCATGGGGGGGGGAAGCGGGTGCGAGGGCTCGCGCCGATCGGCAAAACAAGGGATAAGAAAACGGTCAAGAGGTCTTGGCGTTTCATTTTTGCTCGAATTAGGCTCTCTCGCTCGGTTTCGTGCACCGGGGCCCTCATGGATCGCCCGGGCTCGGAAAGTGGCGGAGAAACAGGGGGCCTGGGGCTCTGGTCGTGTATTGTCATGAAGCTGTGTTTTGTGGGCTAGGAGTCTAATCTCTCTTGGGCTGGCGCAGGCACTGCCGACGCCGCGCTGTGGGCGTCGGGAGGCGTGGCTGCGCGAGGCGCCGCCTGGGTAGCGGTGGATTTGTTCGTTTCCACGACAGCCAGCTCTGCGCAACTTCGGGGAGACGACAGTGGGCCAGATAAGCGTGGCCTGGGCACGAGGTGCTGCCCAGAAGATCGGCGAAAGCAGGTGGCGGTGGAACTGCGTCCAGAAGCGCCGCGCAGGCAGTCCCATGCGGGCGGTGGAACTGCGTCCAGAGGCAGGGCTCGCGGCGTCGGCGTCCCTGGGCCCGAGTGTCAGAAGTCGCGGCGGCCGTGCCGACCAGGAACCCCGCCAGCACCCCCTCTGTCTGTGATCCACGCCTTCCAAACACTGGGGGAGGATGAAAGAGGATGAGTGAGGAGGACAGACAGCGGAAAAGGAACGGGGGAGAGGAAAAAAGGAGACGGAGGCATGGAAGCGAATGGCGGGGGTGGGGCGGAGGGAAAATGAAGGAGGAAATGTGATCAGGAAGGACCCCCTCTCTCTCACCCTCTCTCACCCTATCTCCTCCCCCCCCTCCTTCCTCCCGACCCTTCCCTCCCCAGTCCCGCCCCTCCGCCCCCTCCCCCCCCCGCGCCCGAGACTCATCCGCGGCGCCCTCCTCGACCCTCGCCTCCTCCCCGCGTGGCGAAGCAGGGGGGCCAGACGCAGACTGATGGGGTCAGTAGAAGAACAAACGCCATAAACATAACCTGTTGGCGCTCTGCGCGGATTTCTTGGATCCGCGTTGGACCCCCCTCGCTGGCGCGCGGAGCGCGCCAGAGGCGGCGCCGGAAGCGCCGCCGCGGGGGCCCCAGCGCGGATCCAGGAAATCTGCGCGGAGTGCCAAAAGTGTATGTCTATGACTTTTTTATTCTTCGAGTCTGGGGAGGCAGGACGGCGACCACGTTTTCGACGACGAGGCGCGCGCCGAACGAGTTGGTGTCTGGCCCGCGGGCTCCTCCTCCCGGAGCTCGGGCGCGCCGTGGGCGTCCTGCGGGCAGCCTCTGCTCCTCCCGCTGCTGCCGCTGCTGCCGCTGCTGCTGCCGGTGTTGCTGCTGCTGCTGCTGCTGCTGCTGCTGATCGTATCTAGGATGTTCAAAGCCTGAGAGATTCGAATGAATCGTCGTCGAGTCGCTTCGCACACGTTCGAGGCGCCTGTTTCCCAAACGCACCCCTCACACGGCCTATGGAAGGTACGGACTGCCAGCCGTTGCGCCTCTTGGCGCAGTGAGCTTGAGTGGTCACTCTCCTTCAAAGCAAGCCGCTGAACCATAGACCCGAGAGAAACACACTCATACTGACAGGCGCGTGCACAAGACAAGTTAAGATAGCTTGAACGAGCACACAACATAACAAAACAAGCGTGCGCAACAACAGAGCAAATCAACGGAGGCGGTTGGTCGCGAGCAGGATGGCGTCTGCCGGGATCTCAACACACGTCTCGAGGATCGGTGGGCCTTCGGGCGCGCGCATTGCACCCAAAAGGGCGGAGATGACAGAACGGAGAAACGCTGCTGCTGCTGCTGTGCCCTCCATATACTGGAACACAGCAGCCAGTATACATAAGCGGCTTATAGCGAGGCTTATCACATCAGCCCAAGACTGGCTAAGGTTCGAAAATCTAATGACTGCGTAGGTCACTCCATCACAGATGAAGACATATGGAAACCAGCGAAGCCACGCTGCCCGCTTCACTTTTCGCAACCACCTGCGGACTGTACGTCTGGCCCGGCGCCAGCCTGAAGCCATGGCTTGTGGCTGGCTCGAGTGCGCTCGAAATGGCCGAAAGGAATGATCTGGTATGTCATATGTCACTCACTCGGGCTCCTTCACGTTAGTTGTCTTGTCCATATGCACAATGAGCTGCTCAATCTTCTGGAATGTGCCGCGCCCTGTGGTGTCTGGCAAATTGTTAGCCGCCAGCCATTGATTGAGGATCTCTTGGGTCAGGTCCTTCACCTTTGCAAACTGGTTGTTCCATTCAGTATGGGTCGTGGCCCACTCAGAAATATCGTCATTTGGCAAAATCGCGGGTACCAGCTTTTTCATGTTAGGGGCGATATCATTCGTAGTGTCACCTTCGGGCAGCTTCTTTGGGAACCTGTAGAATGTCATCACCGCTGGATCCAGACGCACCACGGGATGAGTTTTTCGTGATCTTCATCATCTGCTGCTGCATTGATTTCAGCTGCTTCATGATCTCATTCATCTGTTCAGTGTTAGGGTCGAAACGTCCAAGGTCATATTTAGCCGACTGCTGCCTCATCAGCCTCAAGAGCTGTTTCATCATGTCAGGGTCGTCGTCTTCATCATCGGATGTGTGTTTGTTAGCTTTCCCCTTTTCTTTCTGGACATGTACTTACGATACATACCCTTCGTCTCTTTCATGGACGGTTTCTTGCTGTGAGAGTCGGTGCTGGATGTAGTAGCCGTTGACGACGCAGTCGAGGACGATTAATCGTTATTATCGAGGACCCTGCAGTTCGCAAACTTGAGAAACTCGAAGGGGGGTCCTAGATCTCGTATGATATTGGTTGATACTCTTCTTGACTTTCCTGGGGTTCAAGCCAAAAAGGCTGCCAACAACTTCAGCGGCTCCAGCGGTCACTGCGGACATGAAGTGGCGCTTCTGCTTCTTGTCGGCTCTCTGCTGCTCCTTCGCGAGGAACGTCTGCTGAATCGTGGCGGCGTCCTTTGCCACGACCTCCTTTGCCGTGCTGCTGCTTGCCACCGCCTGTCTTGCTGCGCGTCTTCTGCGAGGACCACATCAGACCATGCAAACTAGACGGAGGTACAATATGCGGAGAGACGGTGGCAGGTCTGCACAGTCTGGGCCAGTTATTGTTCACTAGGGTGCAAACTTGGAGCCAGTATGCCATCGAATATGGATGCAAAAGCTGGTCGAACGACGTCCAATCTTCTTTGGGCATCTTGAAACTTATCATCCAGCTCCTTATGCGACTTGCACAGCTTCCGCCCCAGTACCCGTGAGAGACAAAGAAAAGGCCCTTGCCAATGATCCTCGTGATCCATTCTTTCCACACGAGTTCGGCAAGGATGTCAAAAGCCGCCTCGCGAACTTGCTCCACAACGCCTTCTGCCATAGCATTGAAAATGAGGATTCGTTCCCACATGCGCGGGTACAGCAAACGAGGTACAAGCATGACATGAACACTCCAATAGTGGGGGAACTTGGCATATTTAAGGTTATCTCGACGAGAATGGATGAAATCAACAGCGGCAGAGAAAGTACAATATATGAAATCTGACGCATGTGGCTGCAATTCACATTGTAAATACTGCATGGGCAAATTGGCTCCTTCATGCATGATTCCAACATCCGAGGGGGAAATATTACAGAGTCCCGCAAACAAGCAATCTGAGCAGAAGACACGCGAGAAGCAAAGGGAGTCATCGACATATGAAGCACCTTGCACCAATGATGCTGTTTCATGATGCGGGGGTGCAAAAACCCAGGCGCTTCGCCACGGCTGGATCTCGATACAAGTTAAACACACATTGCCCCAAGTCCGCCAGTGTGGCGGGCTCCGAGAGGGATCCGCCCATGGGCCATCCCTTCTTCCTCCGAAACACCTCCGTTCCAACAAGACAAGGAAATACGTGTCACGTGCTGCGTACGCAAGTGCATGCTTAATGTCTGTGAATGTGACAAGGTCGTGCCCTCGGCGCTCAGGCTACCCCGGTATGTACAAGCTACCGGCTGCTTTTTTACTGCGGGCGACTTCGACGCCTGTGGCTCCTGTTGTGTAACGTGGGAAAGAAGCTCACGTGCACATGCAACACCACGAGATACAGATGCGTCTTTAAAGAACTGCGAAGCGTCGGCTTCAACGAACGAAATAAGTGGCTTTGTTTTACCGCAGGGGCATGTGGAGGTGTACCGTGCCACAGCGGCGAGCTTCTGGGCTCGGCTATGCAGCACTGCAAGGAGGTCGTTAGGCTCCCAAACCGTCCACATCGGGTCCCCTGACTTTCGTTTTGCAATCCGCAGCGCCCTCGCAGCACGCTTCTGGGTCGCCCTACAATTACTAATGATTTCACGCTCGTGAGCATGGGGCTTACCACAGACCAGCTCTCCTGTGCTAGGCGACACACACTTTCCCTTAATGGTGAGGTAGGCACGAGGTATGTTTTCAATTGTGGCTTCCTTACGGTTCCGCCACCGTGGTGGGATGAGCTGCTTCTCGCGTGCTCTCTGAAGCTTGGCCACTTGTTTAGGGCTAAATTGGGGTAAGTACTCGTACTGCTGCTGCTGCTGCTGCTGCTGCTGCTGATGCTGCTGCTGCTGCTGCTGCTGCTGCTGCTGCTCCAGGGGGCGAGGGCAAGGACGAGGAGGACGAGGACGAGGAGAGGGTGAGGAGGACGAGGAAGACGAGGAGGGCGACGAGGTCCCAGAAGCCCAGGGAGGCCGTCTGGGCTCTGTGCACGCACGCAGGGCGTGCTCCGGGCTCCCAGATCGTCCCCCCTCCCTGGAGCATTTTTTTTGCACTATTCGCGAGATCGCCTGTGACCAGCCCCGCCCCCATTTTCTTTTTCCTTCCCCCTCCCCTGGTCACGTCACGATTCGCGCCGGCGCCGTCCGGAAATGAGCCGCTGGGCGTTCCCAAGCGGCGGGGGCGCGAATCGTGGGGTGACCGTCACCCTTTTACACCCCCCTCCACCCGCACAGTCACGCCCGCCAGCGGATCGAAAACTGTCTCCTGCTGTATTCGTTCTCCCTTCCCCCCTCCCTCCTCGCACGTCCTCCATCCTCCCTCCTCGTCCCTGCTCGGGCACTCGCTGCAGACAGCCCTCCATGAGACCCTCGAGGAGTGGCAGAGCGAGGAGGCACGCGGCGGGAGGATGAGGGGGGTGGGACGAGGGGGGAGGAGAGGATGGCGAGTGGGAGGACGGAGGGTGGCTGAGCAGGAGGAGGGAGAGGGCGCAGATGAGCCATGAGCAGGAGAGACGAGGAGGATGAGGAGCATGGAGGAGACAGAAGGGATGGTTACCCGAGGCACCGGAGCCGGCTCAGCTGGGACACGCCACCTCGGGGGAGCTCGGTCTGAGCGGCCGCCCTTCCGAGACACGCTGGCGAGCCTTGGCCCGCACCATGGTGGGGGGCTCGTCTCCGGCACGCTCGCAGTCTTGCGCCAGGTCCCTCAACTGGCCTCTCCCCTGCAGCCCTACATTCGCTTTAGTGCACCTCCAGGGACTCCAGTACAGTCAACCCGTATAATAAGGATGCGCGATAAGGATGCAAGGGCCCTGGAAGGCCACGTCGAAGCTTTTCGAGTGGGGCGCGGCCAACGAAAGTGGCCAAGGATGAGCCGAGGAGGTAAGGATGCAAGTGTACCCTTGGGAAGATTGGCCATCCTTACTCTGCGGGTTGACTGTATGGGCCATCAAAGGCCGGACAAGTGGAAGTGGTGGGCGACTTGAGCACCCATGCCAAACAACAACTGCTGGGGCTGGGGCTGATGAATGAAGGGGCTCTGGGACACACAAATAAATACAAACAAATAACAAGATCTCCCATATTTTTCAATATTTTCTGGATGTTTGTCTTCCCCCCCACTTCCCACATGTTCCCATATTTTCCGGGGGATCGTCGATTAATTGTGTCTGTGTGTTTTTCTCTCTCCTGAATGAAGGGTGATGGAGGAGGGAGGCGCGCAGGCGGGGGGCAGAACGAGGGGGAGTCTCCCCCTCCCTCCACCTCCTCCCCTCGTCCTCCCGCTCCCTCGAGAGAAGGGGCTGTGTCGTAGAAGGCGCGCGCGTGCCTGAGCAGAAGGCGACGACAAAGACGAGACGGACGACTGGGCGGGATGGCGACTCCTCCTCTTGACACGCCCGAAAAAAGGGACGGATGAGATAAGGGCGATGGTTAGCAGCAAGCATTGTCAATCACCAGCAGCGTCGGCTTCTGGGCAAAAGGCCTTCGTCCCAAGTGGGCAACGGCGACGCCGAATCCTGCCCCGAGGGGACAAGACATGCTGCCAGTCTCTTCGCCACCATTAGTCATCTCCGCCCCCATCTCGGTCCTCCCTATCCTGTTCTCTACCGCTCATCTTGCCCCCGCCCACCCCCCCGCCCCTGCCCCTCGCCCGCTAGCCTCTGCAGAGGCCTTCACGGGGTGGAGAGATGGTCCCAGAGCAAACAAGGCAGCAGTCGGCAGCGAACAACGCTGGCTCAACTGTCGGGCAGGCGAGCACCGCAATCGCGCCGAGGCTGCTTCCATGACGCACAGAACGATGAACGCCTCCGCGCCTCCAGTGCTCCCCGTCCAGAAGGCTGGGCTTCGGCGAGGGCCGCTCGTGGAGAGGCGGCCGCCAGCATTGCCTTCCACCCCCATGCGGCCCTGCCTTCCAGAGAGGCCGAGGGCACGGCGACGAGCACGACACGACCGACGGCGACCTCGGACGATCACGACCGCGACGACGACGACGACGTCGCCGACGGCGGGAGCTGGGCGGCTCCTCCGCGACGCCAGGGGGCGGCCCGTCGGCGAAAGTGGCCGACGGGCGGCTGCGCTGGGCCCGCGCGCCGACCGACAGGCTCCCGCCTCCAAGGGGGGCATCGCCGCGCACCGCTCCCGCGCCACCGCCGTCGCTGTCGCCGCCCGCCCACTGCTGCTGCTCCGCCGCCGCCGCCGCCGCCCGCCCGCCCGGTGCTGCTGCTGCTGCTGCTGCTGCTGCTGCTGCTGCTGCTGCTGCTGCTGCTGCTGATCGCCCTTAACGGCCACGGCCGCGGCCTGGAGGGTGCCTGCTGGTGGGCCCAGGCCGAGGCCCGTTTGGCGGGCCTCGGGCGGCGTGGCTCCCCACATCAAGGGGGGGGGGGATTGTGGGCGAGCCACTAGGAGATGGTCGCAGGCCCGTGGACGCACGAGCGCATCACCGACGCCGGGCTCCCGCGCACGTCGGCTCTGCGCCATCGGCCATCGCCGCAACATCGGCGCGGTGGGGACGGGCCCACACAACTGCTTGGAAGGCCCTGCAGACCAAGAGCTGGTCGCGTGCGCGCCAAGTCCGAGCACCCGTGCGCCGAGGCCGAGCAGGGGATGCACCCGTGCCTCTGGAACCAGATGGCTCGTCCTTGCGCCGTGGGCGAAACTCTCCGAGGCGCCAGACTTGGAGGACGTGAAGCCTACAGGCGCCCTGCCGCAGTCGCCGACGGCGCGGGCGTCCTCGCTTTCAGCGGGGAGAGCGCGATCGGGGCGTTAGGCACGCTGTCGCTGCCGCGGTAGACGGTCAACGGCGGGAGGCTGTGCGCCTGCCGCGCGCTCTTGCAGGATGCGTTGCGGGCGCGCCCTTTCCATTTCGTCACAGACATGACGAAGTGGACAAGGCACGTGCCGAACGTGCTATGCGGCTTCCGGCGCACCCTCCGGCACGGGGCCTGTGCGGGCGTGCTGCCCAGTCCAGCGTGGATCTCTGAACGCACGTGGACGCCGACCTGGCGAGGCCAGGGCGTGAGGTGCGGGTGTCCAAGGTTGAGAGCACAAGGTGCGTCACGCGCCGAGGCCCTGCTGAGGGAGGACATCCTGGCTGAGGAGGAGGGCGCGCGGACGCACCTGTCGGGGCGTGTGGCGAAGGCTGGGCTGGAGGCCTTTCTGGCGCTGGTGGCCGAAACAGACGCGACAACACCACGACACACTGGACTCTTACTATTTTGTCAGCCTTGAGAGCGCCAGCGCCCGAAACAGAGGCCAAAGCACCACGTCACAATGAATTCCAACATTTGCCCGCACCTTCGTCCATGGGCGGCCAGGCGCACCCTGGACGCCGCGCAGAAGGACCCGCAGTGCGCCCCGCCGGAGGCGCCGCCCTGCAGCCACGCTGCGCACGTCACCCGGGAAGCCCGCCTCGTAAAACGCGCGCGCGGCCCCTGCCCGTGGCGTGCACGCTGGCACCACCGCGCTGCAGCGCGCGCGTCGCAATGCGGCCTCGGCAGCGCGCTCTGGCCCGGCGTGGGTCTGACTGCGGCGGGCACGGCGACGAGGCCTATACGCACCTGCCACCGCCGGCCTGGCCGGCGGCGGTGGGCATCGGGCTGCAGCGCTCGCGGCCTGCGCGGATCGAGAGCCTGCGGTGCCGCACCCGCCCCGGGTGCTCGGCCGCTTCCGCTCCGCACGGCTGCGCGCCTCGTGGGGCGGAGGACGGCACGCGCTCCGCGGAACACGAACACGGCGCACCCAGGCGTCCTCGGAGCTCCGCGCGGCGCTCCGAGGAATTCTTCCTGCGGCGCTTCTGTCCTTCGAGGGGACGGGCTCGGCACCCACGGCCGCTCCGCTGCCGCGCGTGCCCTCGGGAAGAGGCGCGCGGCGTCGCCCCCGCGCGTAAAGTGGCAGCCCGCGCAGGGCCTCGGTGCCGACTTGGCGCGGCGCGCCATCTGCCGAGAAAGGGAACGCCCCCCGAGGAAAGACCTCGTCATCGGCACTGGCGTCGTCGTTCCCCTTGTTCCTGTCCCCCGCGGAGCTGCGCTTGCTGCTGCTACAGTCGGACTGTAGAGTAAGGATGCGCGATAAGGATGCAATGACCATGGACGCCCATGTCAAGGCTTTTCGAGCGGGGCGAGGCCGACGAAAGTGGCCAAGGATGGCCGAGGCGGCAAGGATGCAAGGGTACCCTTGGGAAGGTTGCCCATCCATGCTATGCGGGTTGACTGTATTCCTAACCCTCGGAGGGGCTGAGGAGGGAGGTTCCTGGGGGTTCTAGTTTTAGGGTGGTTTGGGAATCCCATCAGCCCTCTTGGCGTGACGGGCCTGCACCCACTTGCCGCACATCTTACGTTCAGCATCGGAACTGTCGACTCCCGATCCTCCGCGATCTGTGTATTCCAATACTGTGGCTCAGATTCGGAACACTGCTGGACAGTCATTGCTGGCTCGGTTCACTAATCACTTACAACGTGAATTGACAACTATACGTCACCATAACGTAAAGGACAAGCTGAAGAAGTATGTAGAGACATGAAGTAGGAAGGCGGTCACCGTACACTGGGTTCCAGCTCACCGACGTAACTGGCGGCCCAACGTAAGACACCGCCGATTCCAGAAGTGCGGGGGATCTTAACGGAAGCTGGAATCTGGGAGTTTACAAGTATCTACTTTCAACGCAGCGCCTGTACTTCTACAAATCTAGGTGCCTCGTGGGGCTCGTGGGACAAGACAGGGTCGTGCGCGGACGAAGCTGTTGCTCGTGCGTATCTTGGCTGTCACGTTGTCGTTGTTACCCGCTTCGACTGGCCCACAGCCCAGAAAACCCGTTTACGGTGTCCACAGAACACCTGCTTATGTCGGCATGGTACTTGCCATTCCTCCCTCCTCGCCGCTGCGCCGTGCGCGCGCGCGCTGGCAAGAGGGAGGGCCGTAGCATGTTTGTGCTCAAGCCAGACTGGCAAGGCGGCACAGCCGCCGGAAGCTCACTGAGCGAGGCCGCAAACCGAGACTGTCACACAAAATAGGTTTGATATCATGCATTGCTGTACTGTGCGGTGACTCGCTTGGACGTTACCTCGCTTGGAATCCACGGGATTAGACGTTGTCTCGCGTAGCCGCGCCAATTGCTGGTGGTGGCGCACTTGGTGCCGGCTCCCTCTGGAATGCCCAAGGGGCCCCCCTCTCCCTCTCTTCTCCCCCTCCCTCCCCCTCCTCCTCCTCCTCCTCCTCTTCCTCCTCCTCCTCCTCTTCCTCCTCCTCGCTTCTCCCCCTCCTCCACCTCCTCCGTCTCGTCCTCGTTGTCTTCCCCGTCCGCCCGTCCGCCGTCCTTGCCGTTGCCCGTTATCGCCGTCACCGCCCCCGCCTTCGTCGTCGTCGACACCCTCGTCGCCATCCCCATCCCCGCCGCCATATTATCATCGTCCTCCTCCTCCTCCTCCTCCTCCTCCTCCTCCGTAGCCATTTTGGCTCAAGGCTCATGCTTTTGCGGGCTGAGCCCGTATTGGCATTCTCGGATACCGCTAGTCCGCGGCAGTGCCAGAGCGCTTGCGCTCGACAGCTTTTCGCCTTCACCGAGGGGTTGGGCTCCCTCATCAGTTTTGTCGCCACGGCCAGGCAGTCCTCAGGGCCGTGGTTCTCGCCGCTTGTCCCTGCGGCTTCGACGCCGCCATGGCCCCGACGCGCAAGGAGAATGCTTCGCCATGGTATTGCAAGTGGTGCAGGCATGACGTCACGAATCAGCCGTGGTTCAACGCCTCCACCCTTGTGTACTGCAAGAAGTGCGGCTTGCACAAGAGCAACTGTTTCAAGGAGAACAAAGCAGCGTCGCAGCCCAGCGTCTCGGCCAAGCAGCAGTCGCTCGCGGCCAAGGTCAAGGAGCTCGAGGCGCAGCTCGCCAAGCTCCGCGAGCATCCCCCTGGGCACGGGCCAGCGGCTACGGGTACAGGTGCGAGCCCACCTTGGGCTGCCGCGCCTGGGGATGCCGACACCGTCAAGAGGAACCGAATCAAGATGCTGGATCAGTTGCTTCGGGTCACTACTGACCCTGCTGATGCTGGTATTGTGGCCAAATGGCGTGAGGAGCGAGCTAGGTTGGACGCTGAGCTCTTTCAAGATAGGCCCATTGAGCATCAGGCCAGGTCATTGGCGTCAAGACTGTCCTCCGCCCGTTCGCGACAGGCTACCATCCAGGCCACTCGCGACGAACAGCAGAGGAAGATCGACGAGCTCACCCGCGGCCTGGCCGACACTGACTCCAAGTTGCAGGAGGCGGCTGCGGAGGTCCTCCGCCTGGAGCAGCAGACTCGCGCCGCCATGTCGCGAGTCCAGCCGCCCGAGGGCACTCAGCCACCGACGTTGGCGGACCTGCTGCCCACCTTCGCGGTCAGCGTGGAGCAGCTGGGCAAGGTTGCATCGGGCCTCGGTCTCGGCGCCGACATGGTCAAAGAGCTGCAAGCTATGGCCAACACGGTCAGCAAGCTGCAGAATATGCCGCAGGCCAAGCCGCCTGAACCTGCACCTGCCCATGATGATGAGGATGGTGATGAGTCTTGTGCTGAGCCACCTGACATCGAGATGTCCGAGCAGGAGTACCGTGAGACGCTGGGTGCAGCAGGGGTCCAAGTCGAAGAGAGCGACACCCCTGACATCGTGCGTGAGAAGTTCAAGCGCCTTCAGCAGAGCTACTTGGACACTGTGGCCAAGAAGGCCAAGACGTCGGCGTGAATGTGCTCGGCTTGATATGCTGTTGTTTTGGCTCTTTGTCACCATGGTCAGCTCTACATCAGCGCAACATGTCGAGAGTCCGCCTCAGTCATCTTCGACGGCGGCTAACATTCTGGGCAGGGGGGAGAGGGATTCAGCCCCTCATCGTCACACCCCCCTGCCCACATTGGCGTCCAGTTCCATGACCTCGGCTGGCACTACGGCGCCTACATTATTCCCCCCACTGGCCCGCTCCTCGGGGTGGGGGACAGCTCCGACCCTGACGGCGGCCTCGCCTACTTCGGTTGAGCCTGCAGCTCCGTCTGGGGCGACCACGGCATCACAGAGGGCTACCCCGTCTACGCCTACGCGGTTGGCCCCTGGCAGCACGCACTGCTCACCGACCTCACCTTCGGGGAGTGGCGGCAGAGGGCACCGACCGTCTTCGGACGGCACGCACCGCTCACCGCCCTTGCCCTCGGAGAATCCAGGCGGCAGAGAGTGCCGACTGCCAGGGGCCCCACCGGGCCAGAGCGGCCCAGTGTGTACTACTTTGGATGACGATCATGACTTCTTTGAGGACGTTGAGCCTGACATGGAAGCAGATCTGTGTGAAGGCGCATTTCATGAAGCGCCATCTTCGCCCCCACCTTCTTCCCGATTACGCTTCGAGAAATCAAGTCAAGAACGCGCTGCACCTACCTCGCCTTTGCCGCCAGGGAGCACGGAGGCGAAGGTGCAGCCAATGCATGCAGTATCTCAGCCGCAGCTCAAGGGCCTCATCACAACGGTGAATGCTACGAGCTACGGCCCTCTCTTTGACTTTTTGGCTACCTATCGGGGAACTATCTTGCTGGCACAAGAGTTGAGGATTACCGACTCTAGGCTTGGCGAGTTTCAGGCCAGGGCCTTGGATGCTGGATGGCACGGGCTATGGGCCCCGTCGCCCTCTACGGGTGACTCAGCTACGTCCAACTTCGGAGGGGTCACTGTACTTGTGCCGACATACATCATGGTCACAGCCCCACCTGATGATGGGCACATTATCTACCCAGGACGAGCAGTCTGTGCACAGATTAACTGGAGAGTGGCTGGCGGCATCATAGTCGCCAGTGTGTATCTTGGCACGTCCATTGGCATATCGGGCGAGAACATTGAGGTGTTGTGGGCCTTGGCACAGAGAGCTGCAGCATGGAACTCACGGGGCCTCGACTGGATCCTAGGTGGCGACTGGAACTCCGACATCGATGCGCTCAATGTTCGCAACTGGGTCGAGACCATGGCAGCCGTCCACTACGTGCCCGACCAGCACACCTGCATCACCGATGAGGGCAAGAGCACCATAGACTATTTCGTCGTCTGTGCCAATTTAGCGTCTCGCATCAAAGGCAAGCCAGAGGTCCAGTATGACTCCACGGTCGTGCCGCCGCCGCATTTCCCTGTGGAGCTGCAGCTCATGGGCGAGGATCGCCCCACGTGGTGCCGCGTCCCTGTGGAGCCACGTCCCTTTGCGGTGGTGCCGCCAGTTGGCTGTGCTAGATATCCCTACCCGTGGCATAGACTTCAGACAGAGTTCCAACGGGTCAGCTGTGCCGACGATCTGAGCCCGCTCTGGGACTCCGTGTTGCGAGGGGTGGACTACGAGCTGGCAGGGCACTACGACTGCGTGGGCGCTAAGGCCATGCAGTGCATCGGACGCGAGGGGCCGCCGCAGTTCAAGTGGCAGCACTTGCCATGGCAGCCGCCACGCAGGCGTACCTACAAGGAGCCGACCGTGCTGGCCTGGGCCACGGCGAAGCGATGGGCCCAGCACCTTGTGGCTGAGAAGAAGCGGCTGGCGAGGTACATCGAGCGCCTCAAGCTCTGTGCTGCCGTGTGCGTCATCACGCCGCTGCAGTACACTAAGGTCGTCGTGGCTTTCGACGAGGTGGCTGCCTTTTATAGACGCGCGGCTCGGTCAGAGCATGTGCTGTGTGTTTTGGGTGCTGCCTTCGCAGGCTTCTTTCGGCGAGGGCTGACTGGCTTGGTCGAGGCCGACTTTGAGGACGTAGCCAAGGCAATCATTGCCAGAGCTGATCATCATTTGAGAACGGCACAAAGAGCGTCAGAGAGGGCCTGGAGGCAGCGGGCCAAAGAAGCCTTCCTGGGAGGAGCATATCGGGCGCATTCGTCCTCCAAAGTTCGGGCTCGACAGGAGGTGTTTGCCTACTCCCACGGCGCTCAGCCATACCAGATGGCTGACCGCGCGCTCGACAAGTGGAAGGACGTTTGGACTTACCACGGTGCATGTTCTCTGTCGCTGCCTGTCGATCATGCTCAGTGGCCTTTGCTTCCGCCTTTGTCTGCATCGCAGGTGCGTGGGGCCATCAGGAGTTTTCCGTTGCAGACGGCCTCGGGCCAGACGAGGATCGCGCCACGCACGCTCGATGTGTTGTCCGACCAGGCCTTGCAGAGCCTGGCCGATATGTTCATGATGTTTGAGAGTTGGCTGGCCTGGCCCACGGACAGGCTCTACAGC